TAAAGTTCTTATCATATAGGTCTTTCACTTGCTTAGTTAGAGTTACCCCAAGGTATATTATATTATTTGTGGCTATTGTAAAGGGTGATGTTTCTCTGATTTCTTTCTCGGCTTGTTTATCATTTGTATATAGGAGAGCTACTGATTTTTTGAGTTAATCTTGTATGCTGCCACCTTACTGAAGGAGTTTATCAGCTATAGGTGTTCCCTGGTAGAATTTTTGGGGTCACTTATGTATACTATCATATCATCTGCAAATAGTGAAAGTTTGATTTCTTCCTTTCCAATTTGTATCCCCTTGATCTTCTGTTTTTGACTTTTTGCTCTAGCTAGAACGTCAAGTACTATGTTGAATAAGTATGGGGAGAGTGGACAGCCTTGTCTTTTTCCTGATTTTAGTGGAATCACTTTGAGTTTCTCTCCATTTAATTTAATTGTGGCTGTTGGCTTGTTCCTTGTATTCCTGATCTCTCCAATACCTTTATCATGAAGGGGTGTTGGGTTTTGTCAAAGGCTTTTTGAGCATCTAATGAGATGATCATGTGTTTTTTTTCTTTCAGTTTGTTTATATTGTGTATTACAGTGACAGATTTTCGTATGTTGAACCACCCTTGCATCTCTGGAATGAAGCCTACTTGATCATGATGGATGATATTTTTGATGTGTTCTTGGATTCAGTTTGCCAATGTTTTATTGAATATTTTTCCATCAATGTTCATGAAGGAGATTGGTCTGTCATTCTCTTCCTTTGTTGCATCTTGTGTGGTTTGGATATCAGGGTAACTGTAGCCTCATAAAAAGAGTTTGGTAATGTTCCTTCTGTTTCTGTTGTGTGGAACAATTTGAAGAGTATTGGTATTAGCTCTTTGAAAATCTGGTAGAATTCTGCACTGAAACCATCTGGTCGTGGGCTTTTTTTGGTTGGTGGACTTTTAATGACCGTTTCTATTTCCTTAGGGGTTATTGGTCTATTTATATAGTTTATCTGGTCTTGATTGAACTTTGGTATGTGGTACCTATCCAGAAAATCATCCATTTCTTTCAGATTTTTTAATTTTGTGGAGTACAGGTTTTTGAAGTATGATCTGAGGATTCTCTGGATTTCTTCATTGTCTGTTGTTATATCTCCCTTTTCATTTCTGATTTTGTTAATTTGGATGCTCTCTCTCTCTGCTTTTTGGTTAATTTGGATAAGGGCTTGTTTATCTTGTTGATTTTCTCAAAGAAAACCCAACTCTTTGTTTCATTGATTCTTTGTATTCTATTTTGTATTCATTGATTCTCTTTGTTTCTATTTTATTGATTTCATCCCTCAGTTTGATTATTTCCTGGAGTCTGATTCTCCTTTGTGAGTTTGCTTCTTCTTGTTCTAGAGCTTTCAGTTGTGCTGTTAAGTCACTAGTGTGAGATTTCTCCAACTTCTTTATGTGGGTGTTTAGTGCTATGAATTTTCCTCTTAGCACTGCTTTCATAGTGTCCCATAAGTTTGGGTATGTTGTACATTCATTTTCATTGAATTCTAGGAAATCTTTAATTTCTTTCTTTATTTCTTCCTTGACCTATTGGTGATTGAATTGGGCATTATTCAGTTCCCATGAGATTGTAGGCTTTTTGTAATTTTTATTGTTGTTGAAATCTAACTTTAAGCCATGGTGGTCTGATAAGATACAGGAGGTTATTTCAGTTTTTTTGTATCTGTTGTGATTTGCTTTGTGACCAAGCATGTGGTCAATTTTGGAGAAGGTTCCATGGGGTGCTGAGAAGAAGGTATATTCTTTTGTGTTAGGGTGGAATGTTCTGTATATATCTATTATGTCCATTTGAGTCATAATGTCTGTTAGTTCCCTTATTTCTCTGTTAAGTTTTTGTCTGGTAGATCTGTCCATTGGTGAGTGGGGTGTTGAAGTCTCCTACTACTAGTGTATGGGTTTGATGTGTGATTTAAGCTTTAGTAATGTTTCTTTTACAAATGTTGGTGCCCCTGTATTTGGGTCATAAATATTCAGAATTGAGACTTCTTCTTGTCGGATTTTACCTGTGATAAATATGTAATGTCCTTCCGGATCTCTTTTGATTGATTGTAGTTTGAAGTCTATTTTATTAGATATTAGGATAACTACACCAGCTTGCTTCTTAAATCCATTTGATTGGGAAGTCTTTTTCCACCCTTTTGTTCTGAGATAATGTCTGTCTTTGAAGTTGAGATATGTTTCTTGTATGCAGCAGAAGGATGGGTCCTGTTTTCATATCCATTCTGTTAGCCTGTGTCTTTTTATAGGTGAATTGAGACCATTGATATTAATGGATATTAATGAACAGTAATTGTTAATTCCTGTTATTTTTTGGTGGTAGTGTTGTATGTTTCCCTTCTTTGGTATTTGTTGGTGTGGTACTATCTATTGCCTGTGTTTTCATGGGTGTATCTAACTTCCTTAGGTTGGATTTTTCTTTCTAGTGCTTTCTGTAGGGCTGGATTGTTTAAATCTGGTTTTATCATGGAATATTTTGTTTACTTCATCTATGTTGATTGAGAGCTTTGCTGGGTATAATAGTCTGGGTTGGCATCCATGGTCTTAGTGTCTGTATAAGGTCTGTCTAGGACCTTCTGGCTATTAGAGTCTCCATTGAAAAGTCAGGTGTTATTCTTATAGGTCTGCCTATATATGTTACTTGGCCTTTTTCCTTTGCAGCTCTTAATATTTTTTTCTTTATTCTGTATGTTTAGTGCTTTGATTATTATGTGGCAAGGGGACTTTTTTTTTTTGGGGGGGGGATCCAGTCTATTTGGTGTTCTGTAACCTTCTTTTATCTTTATAGGCATTTCCTTCTTTAGGTTGGGAAACTTTCTTCTATGATTTTTGTTGAATATATTTTCTGTGCCTTTGAATTGGTATTCTCCTTCTTCTATCCCTATTATTCTTAGGTTTGGTCTTTTCATGTTGTCCCAAATTTCCTGGTCATTTTTGTTCATGACTTTGTTTCCTTTAGTGTTTTCTTTGACTGATGATTCTATTTCCTCTATCATATCTTCAACGCCAGAGATCTGCTCTTCCATCTCTTGCATTCTGTTGGTTATGCTTACATCTGTAGTTGCTGTTCGTTTACTCAGATTTTCCACTTCCGGCTTTCCCTCAGTGTGTATCTTCTTTATTGTCTCAATTTCAGTTTTTAAATCTTGAACTGTTTCCCTTACTTGTTTAATTGCTTTCTCTTGGCTTTCTTTAAGGGATTTACTGATTTCTTCCCATTTTTTGTTTGACTTTTCCTTGAATTCTTTAAGGGAATTTTTCATTTCCTCTTTAAAGATCTCTATCATCTTCTTAAGGTTATTTTTAAGGTCGATTTCTTCTGTTTCTTCTGTGTTGGGATGTTCAGGTCTTGCTGATGTAGGTTCTGATGGAGCCATATTGGTTTTTATGTTGTTGACTGTATTTTTTCACTGGCATTTACCCATCTCTTTCTCTACTTGGTGTCTGTGTCTGAGGGAGCCTCTCTTGGTCTGATCACTACTCTTGGTCCAGTGGGAGCTCTTGGTCTAATCGGAGCTGATGGACTCTTTGTCTCAGGGAGCAGGTCTTAGTCCAATCTGGCACTTGTAGGCTCTGTCTCAGGAAACACTTGCAGTCTCAGGTGGGGGGGATTGGAGGAGGTGGGACTTGTGGGTTACAGGGTATGATGGGGGATGGTCCGACCTGTCTGAAGGAGGCCTGCCTATTGGTTTGAGACTGGAACTGCAATGGGTGGCAGTGTGGGGGCACAGGGTTGTGCCCTTGGGCCCCACCTAGACAAAGACTCACCTCTTAGTCCAATGGGGCACTGGCAGGCTCTGTCTCAGGGAACAGTTGCAGTCTCAGAGGGTGGGTGGAATTTGGGGGAGGTGGAGCTTGTGGGTTTGCAGGGTCTGATGGGGGATGGTCTTAGTCTGACCTGTGTGCAGGGGGTCTGCCTGCCAATTGGCCTGAAACTGGGACTGCAATGGGTGGTGGTGTGGGGGTGCAGGGTTGTGCCCCTGGGTCCAAAGCCTAGGGGCTGGGGTGTTTGGATATGAGGATAAAGACTCACCTCTTAGTCCAATTGGGTGCAGGCGGGCTCTGTCTCAGGGAACAGTTGCCTGATTTTACTCTGTTAAAGCACCCACTTTTATATGTGTTCTATGGATTTGAACTTAAGTCCTCATGTGTATACAGCAAGCACTTTATTCACTAAACTATCTTTTCAGCCTGAATCTTTTAAAAGTCCAGTTTGAAATCTCTTCCTTTTGAATAGTATTTAGACTATTTGCATGTAATTTTTTTTGAGACAGTATCTCTCTACATAGCCCTGGCTGTCTAGAACTCTCTGTGTAGACTAGGCTGGCCTCAAACTCATAGAGATCCACCTGCCTCTGCCTTCTGAGTGCTGGGATCAAAGATGTACCCCACTATGCCCAGCTTGCATATATGTTTTTAATTGACGAGCTTCATATGGTGGTACATACATGCATTCTTAGTATATGTGAAGGGTGCAGTAAAGAAACCATTGAAATGGCCACTCCATGGTTGCGGGTGGGGGAGATTTTTATTGTGGATAAGGGAGAGAAAGAACATCTAGAGCCATCTGAAAATGTCTAGCTCCAAGAGAAAATGACGAGAGAATAGTGGAGATGGCAAGGAAAGACTGTAAGATCAGTAGGAATAGTTAAAACAGGGGAAACAACCTGGCCTATATAGAGAACAAATGGGTGTATAGGAGCAGGGAAAAATTGTTAACTGAAACAGCCTGGGGGTTTAGGGTAGAGGGGGAGGTGAGATGGACCAGGATGCTAGTGTGGACTTTGAAATGTATAATGGGTACTTATGAATAGGGACTGTAGGAGCCTGGAGGTTAGCATGGCCTTCTATTTCTATAGAAGGTATGGTAGGAAGGAGCTAGTTCATCTCAAAGTAAGTAGAATATGAGCATTGTCAGAAGTTTAGGTTTGTGTGCATCTGATAGCCTGTCACTTTGGTTTGGTTTCACAGGTGCACTGGTTTCATATTCCAGAAAGTTGGAAAATTGGCTGCAACAGCTGTAGGAGGTGGATTCTTTCTACTTCAGGTTTGTCTACTAAGTTTCCTAGTTTGGAAATTCCATTTGCCCATTAACATATTGTGAGAAATTGTAGCCTTGGTTGTAATGCCCTAAAATAGTCTATACATTTGATTTTGTGTACTATTTTGAATGCTACTAACCATTGAGTGAAATCTTAATCATTAGTGTCATTTTATTTCACATTTATAAGGGTAAGAGCCACCATGTGGGTGCTGAGAACTGAACTTGGATCCTCTGGAAGAGGAGCCAGTGCTCTTAACCACTGAGCTATCTCTCCAGCCCAGATGTTTTTCTTTTTCTTGATTTCTATGAGAACTTCATTGATTATGACTGACAATGTTTTACTTATGATATATACATATTTTCTCCATTTTATTTGGGTAACTAATTCAAGAAAAGACTCTTATAGTTGGAAGGTTTCTCGGTCCTGCCAAGCCCCTACAGTCCCACAGTCCACTTATAAAATAATCACTCAGAAGTTTGTATTAATTGTAACTGCTAGGCCATTAGCTTAGGCTTATTAATGACTAGTTCTTACACTTAAATTAACCCATAATTCTTATCTATGTTTAGCCACGTGGCTTGGTACCTTTTCTCAGTTCTGCCTTGTCATCTTGCTTCCTCTGTGTCTGGCTGGTGACTCCTGATTCTGTTCTTCCTCTTCCCAGAATTCTCTTCGTCTGCTCGCCCCGCCTATACATCCTGCCTGGCAGGTCTCTGAGGGAGTTGAAGATTAGATAGTTGTAGTTACAGTTTTCCTTGTTAACAATTTCAGAAAAGAAACTCACTAAGAGGTGTAAAGTGTATAAATTTGAAAGACATCATAAGATAGTTTTCTGTTGGTAATATAAGTTAGGATAGAAAGTGAATTAGGTACATTTTGGACTCACCAAAATATGATAGATAATGGAATATTTTTGCTGAAATTGTCAAATGCAAATGGACTAGACATTGTTGATGTATTTATTGCTTGTATATATTATATATAGTTATTGTACTTATTGTATATGGTTTTTCTTATATTAGTTACAACTTTTTTTAATAGACAAAAAAGGGGAAATGTGGTGATGTATTATGTCGCCCCAATATACTGTGTCCCCCAATAAAATTTATCTGAGGATCAGAGGGAAAAGCCAACCACTATAAGTAAACATAGAAGTCAAGCAATGGTAGCACATGCCTTTAATCCTATCACTTGGGAGGCAGGGATCTGTCTGGATCTCTGTGAGTTCAAGGCCACACTGGAGAACAGAGCCAAGCCTGGTGACACACACCTTTTAATCCCAGCACTAACCATAGAGGTCTGGAGGTCTGTACAGACAGACAGGAAGTGACAGAGCTGGGCAGAAAGAGGAAGTGATGTAGCTGGGCTGAGAGAGCCAGTGAGAGAACAGAACAGAAAGGCATATAGGTATGGATATACAGGAAGTAGCTCTCTTTGGAAGCTGTGGAGTTGGTGAGTTGAGGTTAGCCTTGGCTTTCCCTATTCTGAGCTCTCAGGTTTTCACTCCTGTATCTGGCTCCATGTTTTTTATTTATTAATAAGACCGTTTAGCAATTCACTTACAGACTCCAGATAGAAAGATGGAGAGTTTCAATTTTAGATATGACATCAAAATTTTTATAGGAAAGAAAAAGCGATATTGATGGAGGGTTGATTGATGGGCTATAGTCATTCTCTTTATTATTTGGATAACCCTAATTTATCAGAAACAACATACTTGAATCAATTTTATTTTATTCACAATTCCTTGAAAATTGTTTATTTTTAATTTAAAATTTTTATTTTTGAAAAATTGAACTTAGTACATTGACTTTTATTTTACCATCTTATTTTTTAATCATACTTAAAACTTTGTAAAGAAAGTTCAGCATATACATTAAAGGATTGCCAGCAATTGAGGACAGTTGTTTATTTCCATTACCAAGCATGGAACCTTGAATATAGTATGAACATTTTGCCTGAAGATCATTAAAAAAAAATAGCAAATGTCTCCAAAAACAGAAAGTTAGAATTTTTTTGATTTATCTTGACAAAAAGAAATACCAAAGACTGTGTTTCTCATTTCTTTTTATCACTGTTAAAATTGTAGCTGGCAAACCATACTGGGTACATCAAAGTTGACTGGCAACGAGTAGAGAAAGACATGAAAAAAGCCAAAGAGCAGTTGAAGATTCGTAAGAATAACCAAATACCGACTGAGGTTAAGAGCAAAGCTGAAGAGGTAAGACTTGCCTTGTTCAAATTTAGAATATCAAAAGTATAAGCAGTTTTGTGTACAAAATGGGATACATAATTGTCTCAGCAGTATAAAAAGCTTTATGATTACAAAGAACTTGGAGCAGTGAGACAAAAACTATATTCTGTATGTCAATCTTAGAATATCATTACTGTAGAAACAATTTGTAGGGGACAAAGTCTTAAATTCCTGTCTCAACTTCTTGAGTGCTAGCATAATAAGCATGGGCTACCTCACCCAGCTCATGAAGGCATTTTTTTATTAAGAAATTTTTTATTTATTTTACATACCAACCACAGATCCCCTTCTCATCCTCCCTCCAGCTCCTCCACAGCCCTTCTCCCCAACCCACCCCCCCCCATCCCCTCCTCTGAAAAGGTAAGGCCTCCCATGGGGAGTCTGGTACATTCAGTTAAGGCAGGTCCAAGCTCTTCCCCCTGCATCAAGGCTGTGCAAGGTGTCCCACCATAGGTAATGGGCTCCAAAAAGCCAGCTCATGTACCAGGGATGGATCCTGACCCCACTGCCAGGGCCCCTTGAACAGACCAAGCTACACAACTGTCTCACTTAGGCAGAGGGCCTAGTCCAGTCCCATGCAGGTTCCATAGCTGTCAGTCTAAATTTCATGAGTTCCCACTAGCTTGGATCGGTTGTCTCTAGGTTTCCCCATCATGATCTTGATGCCATTTGCTCATACAATTCCTCTTCCCTCTCTTCGATTGAACTCTTGGAGCTCTGCCTGGTGCTTGGCTGTAGATCTCTGCATCTGCTTCCATCAGTTACTGGATGAAGGCTCTATGATGACAGTTAGGATACTCACTGGTCTGATTACTGGGTAGGCCAGCACAGGCACCCTCTCCACTATTGATAGTAGTTTAAGCTGGGGTCATCCTTATGGATTCCTGGGAATTTCCCTAGCACCAGGTTTCTCCCTATCCCCATGATGTCTCCCTCTATCAAAGTATCTCTTTCATTGCTCTCCCACTCCATCCCTGTTCCAGCTCGACCATCCCATTCCCTTATGTTCTCATCCCCCATCCCCTACCATCTATTACCCTCCTTCACCCCCAGTTTACTCAGGAGATCTCATCTATTTCCCCTTCCCAGAGTGATCCATGCATCCCTCTTAGGGTCCTCCTTGTTACCTAGCTTCTTTGGAGCTGTGGGTTGTAGTCTGGTTATCCTTTGCTTTACCTTTAATATCTACTTATGAGTGAGTACATACCATGTTTGTCTTTCTGAGTCTGGGTTACCTCACTCAGGATATTTTCTCATTCCATCCATTTACCTGCAAATTTCATGATGTCATTGTTTTTTACTGCTGAGTATACTCCATTGTATATATGTACCATATTTTCTTTATCCATTCTTCAGTTGAGGGGCATCTAGGTTGTTTCTAGGTTCTGGCTATTATGAATAATGCTGCTATGAACATAGTTAAGCAAGTGTCCTTGTGGTATGATTGATGGGAGAATGTCTTTCTGTATGCTGTGAATATGTGTTGCTCTGATTGGTTGATAAATAAAGCCGTTTGGCCTATGGCAAGACAGCTTAGAGGCAGGTGGGAAATTCAAAGGGAAAGACAGGAAGAAGGTGGGCAGAGACACTAGTTAGCCACCGAAGGAGCAACATGTAATGGGACGCAGGTAAAGCTACGGAACATGTGGAGATACATAAATAGTTATGAGCTAATTTAAGTGTAAGAGCTAGTCAGTAATAAGCCTGAGTTAATGGCCAAGCAGTTATAATTAATATAAGCCTCTGTGTGTTTACTTGGGGGACACGAGTGGGAGAGATTCATCCTGGCTGACAGCTGGGTGGGACACAGGAAAACTTTCAGCTACATATGATTGAGCTTTCCTTGGGTATATGCCCAAGAGTGATATAGCTTTGTCTTGAGGAAGATTGATTCTCAATTTTCTGAGAAACTGAAGAAGGCATTTTTTGTTAAAAAAGATTTTACCTCATTTTTTTATGTGATGTTTTGCCTACATGTATATCTATACACCATGTATGTACCTGGTGCTTGAAGGGACAAGAAGAAGGTATCAGATCCACTGGAACTGGAGTTACAGATAGTTGTGAACTGCCATGTGGGTGCTGGGAATTGAACCCAGGTCCTCTGGAAGAATAGTCAGTGTTCTTAACTATTGAACTGTGTCTCCAGCCTCTTGTAAAGCTTTGTAATTGAAATATTTGGTGACCTTTGTCAGTGAATGAGAATACAAAGGAAATGAAGATAGTAGTTGTGTTAACTATTTTCTTTTTTTTTCTTTGGTTTTTTGAGACAGGGGTTCTCTGTGTAACATCCCTAGAACTTGCTCTGTTGACCAGATTGGCCCTAAACTCACAAAGATCCACCTATCTCTGCTTCCCAAGTGCTGGGATTAAAGGCATGCACCATCACCACCTGGCATGTTAACTAGTTCTTATAGGAACAAGGGTACCATCGTGGGTGGGGTGTGCTGCCAATGTGAACATTTTGAGTTACATTTTATCTCTATGCCTGCTTATCTTTGAAATAGCCAAATTCTGTTTGTTCTGCACATGACTAATAGAAATGCTTAAATAATGGGTTGGTAGACTTTTTCTGAAGATAGCCAGATGGTAAATATTTTTAGTTTTTGAGTTATGGTCTCTGTCACAATAATCAGACTTCCTCATATAGAGTGAAAATAGCCATAGATGATATGTGGCCTCTATACACATGAATGTGCACTCATATATACATACTTCCCCAGATACACATATAAAAAAATGTAAGTAAATTTCTTTTTGTTTCCCTCTGGTAGTACTTTGTTTAAAGAAATGTGGGAGTCATGGAAAGTTAAAGGCTGCAGTGGAGGTGAGGCAAGAAGACATAATGTCCTAGATTCCTTTTTGATTCTAGGATAAAATATTCTGACCAAAAGCAATTTAAGGGAGGAAAGGTTTATTCAGCCTACAGTTCCAGGTTCAGGCCATTGTTGAGGGGAAGTCAAGGCAGGAGCTTGGGCAGCTAATCACATTAATCCTAAATCGAGAGCAGAGAGAAACAAATCTATCTTTGCTGCCTGCTTGCTATCCCACACAGCATTACCTCTGACTAAGGAACTTAACTCACAGCCAGAGACCATGAGGCAAAAACCACAGAAAATGCTGTTTGTTTGCTGGTTGGCAGATGGGCTTTTGCTCAGCTAGCTTTCTTATACAGTTCAGGATCACCTGCCTAGGTAACAGTGCTGCCCACAGTATGATGGGCCCTCCTATATCAACTAACAATCAAGACAGTCCCCTACACATATGCCCAGATCAATATGATCTAGGTCAGTGTTTCTCAATGTTCCTAATGCTGCAACCCTGTAATACAATTCCTCGTGTTGTATTGTCGTGGTGACCCCCAACAATAGAATTATTTTTATTGCTGCTTCATAACTAATTTTGCTACTGTTATGAATCTTAATGTAAATATCTGTGTTTTCTGATGGTCTTGGATGACTCATGACCCATAGATTGAGAACTGCTGATCTAGGCAATTTTTCAATTGAGATTCTCTTCTCAGATAATTGTAGATTGTGTCAAGTTGACAGTTAAAGCTAACCAGGACCTCTAAATACAGTGGTAGTGAAGACTCTGTGGACTTTGCATAATGGTGTAAGGAGGATGGACAGTGATGGGAATGTAATAGTGCAAATGGCTTACTTAGTTGGAAAATGAAGACACTGTACTTAAGTTTAAGAAATGACTTGGCCAGGTCTGGGGATATGGCTTAGTTGGTAAAGCGATTGCCATATAAGTCTAAAGACCAGAGTTTTGGATCCCCAGCACTCATGTACATGCCAGGTGAGTGTGGTGGCCTCTCTTCAGTCCCAGGGCTATTGCAGAAATCACCAGAGCAAGCTAGCTAGCCAGACTAGGCCAAATGGTAATCTCTAGGTCCAGCAAGAGAGCCTGCCTCCATATATAAGGTGGGAGTGAGCTAGGAAGACACCTTTCAATCTTGGCCCTCAACATGTATGTGCACATGTGTTATTTGTTATACATACATGTACACACACATACCACATAATGCAAAAACAAAAAGAAATGATTAAGCCAGAATGTAAGGTATAATATTTCACATTTACTTTGTAAGGGAAGTGGTCAGGAGAGATAATAAGTTGATAAGAGAGCCATACAGGGTGCTTATCCATGTATGCACCAAACCTCAGATGAATAGAAACTTTTGCAGTAACGTGGCAGCTTTGGAAAATAAGGGAATAAGACTATACGTACAGTCATTAGTAATGGAAATGATCAACATCCTTAGCAAAATAACTCATTGTATCAAAATCTTCTGTTTTTCAGGTTGTGTCATTTGTAAAGAAGAATGTTCTAGTGACTGGAGGATTTTTTGGAGGCTTTCTGCTTGGCATGGCATCCTAAGAAATACAACTTCATTTTATTTTTTTTTTTCTTGCCAGCAGCTTCTACACTCAAACATAGGCTAATCTACACTCCTCTTCCTCCTCTCCTCCCATGGCTTCCTCCCTGTTGTAGCAAATCTGAATGGCTTCTATAGGCTTCTTCTGGTACAAGGTTAATATAGACCTTCTCATGAGCTTGACATGTTGGAAAAGACAATAGATGTTAACTCTCCCAGTATACTCCTCACTACTTGGTCAATGAGTAGCTTAATAAGAATGTTCCCTTTCCTCTATGTAAGATCCTTTTCCTAACTTGATTTGGAAAAGCAGCATGTAATTACTTTAGTATGTGTTACATGGAAAGGAACCAAATACATTTGCCTTTAAGCATGAAAGATTTTGGTATCTTGGTATGTGCTTTCTTTTTCAGTTGATTTTAGATTATACAAAGAGGTTGGTTTTTTTGTTGTTTTGTTTTTATTTTTTTCCAGACAGGTTTTCTCTGTGTTGCCCTGGCTATCTTGGATCTTGCTCAGTAGACCAGGCTGGCCTCAAACTCACAGAGAGATCCACCTATCTCTGCCTCCCAAGTGCTGGGATTAAAGGCGTGTGCCACCACCGCCCGGCAAGAGAGGTTTTTATACTTGCTGTAATTATCCTGCCAAAATGACAGTATAAATACTATAACTAAAAAGATTGAATATGAAATGAACTTCTGATAAAGATGTATGAAGTAATGTAGGTATTGTATTTGATAGGTGGGTCTTTATGGAAACCAACTGCTAGAAATTCATTATTGGATGGTCAGATGAGTCATTTTTTGGTATTAAGATCCAGTCCAGAAATGTTTTCCACCATTACCACATACTGCATCTCATGTCATGGCTGTTTTCAAGTGATTTAGGTAGGAAAAGGAAGAAACTGTTAAATATTTATTTCATAGAAAGGTTTCTGTGCTTTGAAATTTGAAATATTCTTCACATTTGTTAAAATACTAGGGGTAGCAGTATTCCTCTATGGAAATACTGTTTCTTTATCCAGTTAGTATGAAATATAACATATAAGCCAGAATTTTAAAGAGATGTTCCAGGCATTCAGAATTTAGAATGACAGTGATAGTTTATGTGAAATAAATTATTTCCATCAAATGCAGTCTCCATCAGAATTATTCTTTAAAATAAAAGTCTGTATGCACTTCAGATTTTGCTATAATGCCTATTACCATGATCTCAACTCCAATTAGGAAATCATCTTCCAAAAGCTAAGTCTCCTGTCATCTTCATTGTACCCACAGGGCCTACCACTTAATAGATTTCAAGTATTTATTGAGTCTATTTATTTGTATAAAGAAAACTCTTCCCTGTTAAAGATTAGGTTTACCCCAAATGAATTCTTAGATATGTAGATGATCCCATGTGCAATAGTGTGTTTTTAAGGTCATACATTAAAGATAATTACTTTTTGACATACCTTAACAATGACGTATTGAATTTTAAAATTGAAATTACCACTGGATGTGTAAAACTGCTTAGGATTCACCTATTTGTATTTCCTCATTACATTTTGGTATTATTTAAGCTAATATTACTTATTCTACTTGTAATATTATATTGATAACTGAGATATCATCTGTTTTATAGTTCTCTGTATCATTCTTGGAGTTGTGCCATTTATGGTGATTCTGCCTATAGCCATGTTACTCTCCCTATGTCTTACCCACATCAATGGTATGGTGACAGCAAAAGCTATTGCATTGTCCCTTTGGATATGTGGTGGGGAGTGGTCATCGACTACTTCTTTGGTAGATTGGTAGCTAACTTCTGGCCCATCTGCTTTCTTTGTGATTATTTGTGATTATTATAATCAAGATTATCAGGTTGGAGTTCCTTTGAAAGGTTGTAATAGGTAATAGTCTAGAGTCAGATTCTACCCTCATTGTCTGAAATAAGATCTATAGGTCACCGGGTAGTGGTGACGCATGCCTTTAATCTCAGAGCTCAGGAGGCAGAGCCAGGCGGATCTCTTTGAGTTCAAGGCCAGCCTGGTCTACAGAGCGAGATCCAGGACAGGCACCAAAACTACACAGAAAAACCCTGTCTCGAAAAACAAAAACAAACAAACAAACAAAAATCTATAGGTCTTTCTTGAAGTTTGGTCAGGGTCCATGTGGTCACTTGTGTTTGTGTAGAGCTGGTGCAGAAGGTGATTAGTCACAGTGTGCACATGTCAAGTTCCAGTTTAGCTCAGTGGTCACTTAAGTAGCCTAAAGCACTTTGGGGAACCTTTACTGACGCCTCATTGTGTCAGCATCTTTGCTTCATCTTAAATGGGAGATTACTGGGGATATAGCTCAATGATAGAGCATGTGTGAGGCCCTGGGTTCAATCCTCAGCATTGCAAGAAAAGAAGAGCTAAGCAGGCCTAACTTTAAATGGGAGATTAAGATTTCTGGAAAAAGCAGCTGTCTTTCCATGCACAACCTAAATGATAACAGGGTTAGGCAGTTACACCGTTGAATACATTTGTTTTCATTTGATTAGCAAGACCTGTTTGGAAAGGCACATGATTTGTTTCAAGTGCCCAGAGTCAAATAACATGATAGCCTCTTTACCAGAGGTGATGGAATTGATTTTCTTTGATGGAGAGGTTGATCATTGTCAATATATAAGGCACTGAGAAGCTTGGTGTTTGACAATGTGTTGGTATTTTTGTTTCCCCTACTGGCAGAAATGCAGGAACAGTGCATTCCATCAGTACCCTATAGCCCCTGGTTCACTTCTGATCCCCCACAGGGGCACTATGGTTCTGCCCTGCATCCTTACTACTCTGGACCCAAGTGTGCCTCCCACAAGGGACAGGGTAGGATGAGGATGCTGCTGCAGTTATAATGTTTATGATATTCTCCATCAGACAGAAGGCCAAGGGGGAGAGGCAGAGGCACTCTTTTTTCTGGCATGCCTGTGTAGGCTCAACAGATAAATTCCAACATTTCCACTCTACCCAAGGCTCTGTGAAACCTTTATTTTTTTTTAACCAGGAACCCAGGGGATGCCTACCTGTGTAGGAGCAGCCCACTCATTGCTATAAGTGTCATCATTCTGATAATATGCTAACAAGACTTCCCCCATATGAACCTTTATTTGCCTTGACCTCTCATCACTATAGACACTGGTAAACAGTTTGAGGTTTTTGACTCCCCCATATGACCCATCACTTGGGCCAGAGCCCATGCTACTGGATCTGTGAGATTAATGTCTCATGAATTGTGGCAGACCATACATAATTCGAGTGGAAGAATCTAATGGTTCAGCAAAGAATGAGCTGTATGATTCTAGGTGCTATAGTTTTAAGGTGTATGCTTGTTAATTATTAAGAATGTCCTCTTTATTCTTTCATATTTGCCAGAAAGGTGGACATAACTAAGGGTTAAGCTCTTATTTGAAAGCTGTACTTTTATAGTTGGAAAAAAATTACAAATCTCTTCCTGGAAAAGTGATATGCAAATGAATTTGAAATTTTTGTGTACCATCAGTGTTTGTTTCATCTAAGAGGAAAGCTCTTATCTAGCCATCCTTGCAGGGAAATGAATCTGCTGCCTAAATTAGCAGTTTCCTTTCTTTTTTGTCATGAGAAGTTGATTTTGTGAAATAGAGTATTTAAAATAGGTTCTCTGTTCAGTTAATCAGATAACCATGAGCCATTGGAGAAAACTTTTAGTTCGGAGCCTGATTTCCCAGAAACCATGCAGTGTGGTTCAGATCTGTGGTGCTTTTATCCTTAAGAAATGGAAAATTTGAAGAAAAGCTAGACTTCTTCCTTCCTTCTTTCCCTCCTTTCCTTCCTCCCACTCCTTTCTGTTCCTAGTGCCTCTTTTCACATTTTTGCTGTATCAAAACTATCTACTTTTTCCAATATTAAAATGTTAAGAAATGATGTGATTACTAAGAGCAGCAGTTCTCATCCTTGTTTACACAAGGGAATCACCTGTGGAATTTTAAATGTTGAGTTGTGGCTCTTATACTAGGGGTTTTGACTTCACTGGTCTAGGATGCCATTGTGGTAGGTTGAGGCTTCACATATCTCAGATTTTCTTGATGAGCAGTGAAGATAGAGAACACTAAAGGAGTTGGAAGTAGGTGCTAATAAAATTACAATTCTGTTAACAAGTGAATACTTTTTAAATTTTATTTTAAAATTAACTTGAGATGATTTCTGGATACTGAACACAAATGTAGTACCACAATTTATTGAGTTACATTGTAAGGAAGAAAGGTGTATTATAACAAAATGGAAAAGGGGATTTTTGCCATCAGTATATGCTGAAATTACTGAATAAAAGGCTGTAAAGTAATGGAATGTTCACTTGCTGCCCAAATGTCACCCTACAATTGATTTACCCACTGCTATTGAAAAGTAACATCCTTGCTAAGGTCTGTCAATCATCAACCAAGTGATTAAACTTAGAATCACTAATAGCTACTTGGAGGGTTTTGTATTTCCAAAATGAGAGATGAGACCATAGTTGTCACAAGAGTTCTTCCCTGAAGACTATGTTTCAGTGTTAGTCTTGGTCAGTGTTACATAAAAAATACTCATTTTTCTGTATGCCATAATAGCTAAAGAGAATAAGATTTAAGTCAATGTCTTTCAGTAGATTTGTTGACTTAAACTAAGACAGGATAGTTTACATAAAGGAGCAAATACTTGGAAGCTTTTGAAACTCAAAATAAGGCAGTATACTTTAGGAGAGAGACATTTAAAATGTTTTAAAGTAAACATAACTAATAAAACAGAAAAAAGCAATTATTTGATTTTGTGAGTCATATGTAAGTCCTAAGCAATCACTATCAGATGTTATTTTAAGTGCAATTTAGATTCATAGGTGATGTACACATTATAATTGTAAAGTGCTTTATTAAAATGTTTTTACTATTAATGAGAGTTCACTTAAATTACTTCATGGGAATTTAGAATTGTTACCCTCCTTTGTGGATCAAATATCTTTCAGATAGCATATTTCCAGAAAGTCTCTTTGGAGGAAAATCACTCAAAGAAATGCTTGTCTACAAAAGAGGTTCAGTTTCACAACAGGATAATACTACAAAGAATTGTATCTCATATGAAAAACTAAACTCTGGCAGGAAACTAACCATTTACATGTGTCTAGACTAGCATTCTTCAAGTATTTAACCACAGAAGAAGCCTTTTTATTTCATTTTTACAGTGATTCCTAGGAATGCTTTAGAAAAAAAATGTTGCTTTGAAGAAAAGAATTGAATTGGGGAGGGTGTGTGGAGGGGAGGGTGTGGTGGTTTGAAAGAAAATGGCCTCCAAAGGAAGTGGCACTATTAGGTGTGGCATTGTTGGAGGAAGTATGTCACTGTGGGGGTGGGCTTTGAGGTTTCTTAAAGCCCAGTGTGTCAGTTGACTGACTTCCTGTTGCCTGCAAGATGTAGCATTCGGCTTCTCTGCCTCTCTGTTGCCTCTCTGCTGCCTCTCTGCCTCTAAAGAAAAGAAGAAAAAAAAAGATGTAACATTCAGCTCCAGCACCATGTCTGCTGCAGGCCTCCATGCTGGCCACCATGATGATAGTGGACTGAACCTCTGAAACTGTAAGCAACCCATTCCAATTAAATGTTTTCTTTATAAGAGTTGTCATGGTCATGGTGTCTCTTCACAGCATTAAAAATCCTAACTAAGACAGAGGGTTAGGCAGAATTCACCAGGCTGTACCATTGTGGGATGAGAACTTCCAAATGTGCACCATGGTAGGCAGACACTCCTGACTTGAGATTAAAGTCTGGCAGCTTAATACAAGCCTCCCCTGGTGATGAACTGGCTCAACAATGTTCAAACTGATGAACCCTAAATTAGGGAAGGAATGCTCTTCAGAGATTTAAAATCCCAAGCCCCCAAGATTTTTTGTCTTTCCAAGGCCTCACTCTGCTTTGCAAAGGTCCTTTTTCTGTGTGTCTGTTGTATGTATATGTCTCCTCACTCACAACAAAAGCCTTTCTTCAACTGTTGATTCTCTCTGTGGTTGTTGTGATTTTCCTGCTGCCACCTGTTGCCCTTGAGATTTTTCATGCCTTTCAGTTCTTTTAAGTGGCCGAGAAAATGAACTCAATCAAGACCCCTAGATTGTATCAGTGGTATGCACATGACTGCAGTCATATTACACAGACACTTAAAAGAAAAAAAAAAAGATTTGTTATCAAATAATGGTATTTGGACATCAAGGAACTACCAGAATTTTCTTGCTCACATTCTTACAAAGGCATCTTTTTCCTTTTTTTTTTTTTGAGACAGGTCATACATAGTCTAGGCTACTCTCTATGTAGCTGAGGATAGCCTTGAACTCCCGATCCTCCTGACTTCACCTGAGTTTGGGCATTACAGGTTTGTATCATTATGCCTGGTTTATGCAGTGCAGGGGGTCAAACCCTGGGCCTTGTACACATTAACCAAGTACTCTACCAACTGAGCTACATCCTCAGCTCCAAAAGGCATTTTTCTTTTGGGAGGGGGGTGAGGGACAACAGTAGAACTAACATCTATTTGAGGAAAGAAAATGGATATAAAATAGTTACCAGCTATCAACAGGTTTCCTTTGGCAGTTTTGTTTCAATATTATCTGGATCTACTACAATAGGTTTTGGTTATAAGGAAATAAAGAATAATCACCTAAAATTCTTCTGTTGCTAGGCGCCTGCCTGACTGTTCTATAACAGTTTCCTCTGAGATTGAAACATTCCATCCTGCAGGGAAGCTCCTTAAGCAGGAAGGTAAACAACTCAAAATAGCTTCAGGAAGTCCCTAAAATTGACGAGATTCATTAGGCTCCTCCTCCCAGAGCAAGAAATAAAACTACAAAGAAGACTCTCAGACCAGCCAAACTGCAAAGAAGATCCTAAGACCAGACCAGCTTCCTGGAAGAATCAGAAACCAGCTGGACTACCTGGAAGAGGTTTAGATCAAATGAGTCACTTGAGATACTCAAGCTGTTGAACTGCCTGCAGGTTGTGCAGTGTGCTCCAGATTCCCAGCGTTGTGAGCTGTCACCTGTGCTGGAGTGGGCTTTGTAGATGCAGCTGCCTTTGAGTCGTTTCTGCTCCTTACTTACAATTAACTCCAATAAAACTCATTGGTTCTCCAAGTTGGACTTCGGTGGTATCTGTACTTTGGTCTGTCATGGGCTACTTGTGTTGAGTAGATATGTATGTTGCATCTCACCAGGAAAAGTTTTGTCACACAGTGCTGACTGTAAGGCTTTCTTTCCCAAGATGGTCTTGCTGAAGATACCACCTGGGTGGGACCTGGCCCCTTCAGAAGAAATAGAAATGGAACATTCTGCATGTCTCAGAAGTCATCTGACTCTTAGCAGAGCAGCTTGACTGCAACACCCTGTTTTCATACCCTGCTATCCTTATGACCAGAAGTACCCCCATAATTTTTTTTTTGCTTACAGCAGTTTCTTTTCACACAATGCTCCCTCACCCAACTAAGACCACCCTATAAAACCCCCAACTCCCTTTTTTGTGGGGTTGTTCTCTCTTCACTTGGAGACAACTTGGCAGTTCATGCCTTGAATAAAAACCTTTTAGCTTCAGTGCAGCTCTGATAGTTTGGTTCTCATTAGGCCTCACACTGACTTGCAATGGAAGTGTTTCTTCCATTCCTTCATGATAAATTTGGGATCAGTGAACATTAGAAGACTATGTGTAGGCTAACTAGGGTAAAAAGTCCATGCTCATGTCTGGGTTTTGAAAACCCACCAATCCCTGAATTTGAAGTCCCACAATCCCCACCTTGGAAATCTAAAACTGCCCCCAAGAAACCCTATATAAAGCCTGCCTCTCGTTTACTTCTTTGCTGCTTCTCTCCTAAGCAGAAGGCGCCACCCTCTTGTATCTTTCCCAATAAATGTGTGAGGTTTGCTGTGTGGAATGACTTTGTAGTTGGCTCCCAACTGCCAAGATGCCTTTTCCTTCAGAGAGAGCTGTAACACTTGAACTGGGGAAAAGGTTTCCCCTCAGAGCTGCAACACTTGTACTAAGAAAACTTTTCCCCTTAGAGCTATAACACAGTAACAGGCCAGTGGAAATTCACCCTGCCCCTCCCTGCTCCTGTGACTGTTAATGGCCAAGCAATACTTCTAACCACACTGTACTTTGCCACTAGTTCACTGTGCATGCTTCAAAGACCCTTCAAAAGGCTGCCCCTCTACCCAGCCCATTGTTGTCTGTTTCCGGTCAGAGGTAGCTGCCATTCTGTGTCTCTCCCCTATAAATCTCTTGTGTGAGGTTTGTTGCATGTTATGACTTTGTGGTATTCCTTGGCTCCCAACTGCCAAGATGCCCTTGCAAGGGGAAACTCTTTCACTATGTGCTTTTCCGATCACTGAGGAAATATTAAGTATCTGCGGCTAGGCATTGTGGTGGGGATGCAAAAGAACAATGTTCCTACTGCATTTGGAAGGAAATTGAATTATTGGTATTGAGTTAGGTTAAAAGAAACTTTAAAATAATGTAGCATGTAATCTATGAAAGGTATTATGATTCTAATGCTGGAGGGCCTCATGCAACTTAGGTTTTATCACTGACACTACTGATCTTGTTAAATAGCTAGTTATGTATTATCAGGCTTGAAGTTTATTGAGGATGGCTTCTTCCATAATCAGCAGTTTGTAAAACCAGGAACTGAAACTGTGGGACTTTGATTACTGATCCAAAGAATGGGATCTGAGTACCTTTGGCTGTGGGTAGATTATATTCTGAACTGTTGGGAAGGTCATAAGATTACTATCTAGCCAGGAGCCTTCTGGTAAAGAACAAAGCTATAACTTTGTCCCCTCATTCTTGCAAGTTAATCCAAATGAGCTATCAGTCACCTAAACAGGAAAACACCCCTGAGAAAGCTGCCTGTTCTAGAAATTTAGAAAATAGTAGAAAAATTTAGAAAATAAGGGCTGGAGAGACTGCTCAGGGGTTAAAGCAATGGATGCTCTTCCAGAGCTTCATTTCCCAGCACCCACATGGCAGCTCACAACTATCTGTAACTCCACTTCCAGGAGATCCAAGACATGGTATACAGACACACATGTAGGCAGAATACCTATTCACATAAAGGTTAAAAAACAAAAGAAAATAGTATACAAGCTACCTCTATTGGTATGTTGGCATAATGGTCTCTGACCATTATCCACTTACTCTTCAGAGTATTTCATGTTATTCTGTAATAAACTCAATGCTCTGTATCTCATCTATATTCAACAGAGATCCAAGATTTGGCAAACAAGGTCAAGATGCAGATAACAGTCTGATTTCAGGAATTAAAGAATTCATTAACATCTGAATCTAATAGTCTCTTAAAATACATTTAGTAACCAAAATTTTCATGTAAAACAGGTTTATTTTAGCAGCTCCCTTTTACATTATACATATTTATTTTCTAACATAGGTTATTTTGGTCTGTTTTGCATAGATGGCATATTTCCTAACTTTTACAATTGACTTTTTCATTTGCTATTTGCTGCTACTTGGCATGAGGAAGGGGTAGTAAATAAAACATACTTAAGGGAAACATAAAGCAGAATTTAACTTCTCAACACAACTTTACTTGGATCCAGACTTTAGTGTCAGGTTTTCTTCTTCTTTCTCAAATCCTGAGCAGACAAGAGATCTTCCCTTGGGATATCGAGCACAACACTTACGAAGTTCTTGGATGACAGCCTGACACTTCGATTCCATATAGTTGTTGGCTGAAAAACAGGCAAGTTTTATTAATGATCTCATAGAACTAAGAAGGTACAAGGTAATTAAGCATTTTCCAACACTTTTCACTTAGCACCTAGAAGATATACCCAACTCTATTGAATTCTTTCTGATTTAGAAATCTGTCAACAGGTCAAGAAGTAAAAGGAGAATTCATTAATAACTATCTAAAGGTCTAATAGGAAGAAAATCACAATTTATAAGTGGTTGAATGCTATTTTAATATATAATTTCTGTTTTAGTTAAGTGCCTTTGGCAGTAGTTTTCGATATGATTAGTGGCCACTAGTCCCATTTTGCAATTTGATGAATTAGAAAAAATGCATACAACCCACATTTTCATAGTTTCATAGCAAACTGAAGCTTGAATGCCAAATTTAATCCCCCTTCTTTAAAAATGAAAGTGGGAGCTAACAATTTTTTTTAGGTTTTGAAAGGGTTATAAAACATAAAGGTAAGGTGACCATGGCGTGTGGTTTACTATGGGTTCTAAGGCTGAGAGTGCCAAGACCAACACCTGTGCATTGCTTAGTTCCTGCATCCCTCCACCCCCAGCTCAGAACTCAGAGGCACTGGGGATATAGTATGTGGCTAGGCCATTTGTCAGTGTCCCAGCTACACAGACTGAGGGCCTCAAGTGAATCCTCACTTGGCCACATATAAACATGGACTAGTGGTGGCTCAGGCTGGCTATATATACGAAAAGTTCTTGGAATGGGGAACAACATACTCTTTAGCCAGTCATCCTGATCTATCTTGGAGAAAGTTCCATAGGCTGATGAAGATACTATGTATTCTGCTGCTGTTAGTATATTCTCTAGAAGTCTGTTAAGTCTATTTGATCTATAGTGCATTTTAACTCACAATTTATAAGTGCCCATATTAAAAAAATAAGATCTCATATAAATACCTAAGGGTATTAGAACCCATGCTGTAGGGTGTTCTGTATGGCAAATGTGTTGCTGATTGGTCAATAAATAAAACACTGATTGGCCATTGGCTAGGCAGGAAGTGTAGGCGGGACAAGGAGGAGAATAAAGCTGGGAAGTGGAAGGCTGAGTCAGAGAGACACTGCCAGCCGCCATGATGAGAAACAGCATGTGAAGATGCCGGTAAGCCACGAGCCATGTGGCAAGGTATAGATTAATGGAAATGGATTAATTTAAGTTGTAAAAACAGTTAGCAAGAAGCCTGCCACGGCCATACAGTTTGTAACCAATATAAGTCTCTGTGTTTACTTGGTCGGGTCTGAGCGGCTGTGGGACTGGCAGGTGAGAGAGATTTGCCCTGACTGTGGGCCAGGCAGGAAAACTCAAGCTACAATGTATCTCAAGATTTTAGAAAAAAACAAGAGCAAGCCAAACTCAAAACTAATAGATGGAAAGAAAATAAAAATCAAGTAGAAAATTAATGTAGAACACAAAAAATACAAAGAATCAATGAAACTGTTGACTTTTTAAAAGGAAACAAAATTGACAAATAAGCTAATCAAAAAAAAGAAGACTCAGATTCAAATTCATAAAATTAAAATCCAAGCAGAGTGGCATGGAGCTATAATCCTAAAATACTCAGGAGGCTAAGGCAGGAGGATCTTAAGTTCAAGACCTACTTGAGCTGTGGAGTGAGTTCAAGGCTAGACAGGATAACTTCAAAATTTAAAAAGTAACAAGAGACATGAGAATATAACTCATTGGTAGAATGTTTACACAAGGCCCCAGGTTCAACTTCCAGTACAACAACAACAACAGCAGAAGCAGCAATAATAATAATAAACAATAATAATAACAGGAGACAAAAGGAATATTACACTAAAAACAACTGAAATAATTAATGAATATTTTGAAAAATGATATGTCAATTGGAAAGTCTAAGAAAATGGACAAATTTCTGCATATATGACCTATCAAAATTGAACTCCCAAATATGAAAAAATCTAAATAAATCAATAGCAAGCAATGAAACTGAAAGTAAAATAATAAAAAAAAAGCCTCCCATCAAAGAAAAGCACAGATCCTGACATATTTGTGGTAGTAGAGATTGAAGTTAGGGCTTTGTGCACACTATGCAGATGGTCTACAACCACTATTTTAAAAACAAAAACAAAAACAAAAAATTAACACCAATCGTCCTCAGACTAGACCATAAAATAGAAAGGGAAAGAATGGAGCTGGAGAGATAAGTCAGCAGTTAAGAGCACTGGCTGCTATTCTAGAGGGCCTAGGTTTGATTCACAGTACCCATATGATGGCTCACAACTGTCTGTAGCTCCAGTTCTAGGAAATTCAAAACCCTCTTTTGGCCTCTATGGGCACCAGGCACACATGTGATGCACAGACATATGTGCAGGCCAAATACCATATACAAAAAAATAAAATAAAGGGAAAGAATTCTTCCAAATTTATTTTACAAAACCAATATTGTTGTGGAATATTATTTTAAGATGTGTTACATATGTTTATGCTGTTGAATATTTAATGATGCAAAATGGTTTTTTTTTTTTTCATTTTTCTTTATTAAGAAATTTTCTATTCACTCTACATACCACCCACAGGTCCCACCTCTGCTGTGGGATGTTCTGTATGGCAAATGTGTTGCTGATTGGTCAATAAATAAAACACTGATTGGCCATTGGCTAGGCAGGAAGTGTAGGCGGGACAAGGAGGAGAATAAAGCTGGGAAGTGGAAGGCTGAGTCAGAGAGACACTGCCAGCCACCACAATGACCAACAGCATGTGAAGATGCCGGTAAGCCACGAGCCATGTGGCAAGGTATAGATTAATGGAAATGGATTAATTTAAGCTGTAAGAACAGTTAGCAAGAAGCCTGCCACGGCCATACAGTTTGTAACCAATATAAGTCTCTGTGTTTACTTGGTCGGGTTTGAGCGGCTGTGGGACTGGCAGGTGAGAGAGATTTGTCTTGACTGTGGGCCAGGCAGGAAAACTCTAGCTACACACCTCCTCCCTCCTAATGATGCAAAATGTGTTGCATTCTTTTTTGTTGCATTTGTTTAACTCTGTGAAGCTGTGTTACTTTGCCTGTGTAAAACACCTGATGGTCTAATAAAGAGCTGAATGGCCAATAGTGAGGCAGGAGAAAAGATAGTTGGGCCTGGCAGGCAGAGAGAATAAATAGAAAGGGAAATCTGGGAGGAGAATAAAGAGCAAGAGAACAAGGAGAGGAGGACGCTAGGGGCCAGCCACACAGCTATACAGCAAGTCACATAGTAAGTAAGAGAACAGGAAAAGCCCAGTTGCAAAAAGTAGATGGGATAATTTAAGTCAAGAAAAGCTGGCAAGAAACAAGCCAAGCTAAGGCTGGCCATTTATAATTAACAATAAGCCCCCATGTGTAATTTATTTGGGAGCTGGGTGGCGGGCTCCCAAAAGAACAAAGAGTCAAAACAGTAAAAAACATACAATATCAAAGATCCTTTAACGAACATACATGTAGAAAGCCTAAGTTAATGACTTTAAAACTTAATTCAGTGACACCAATGAAAAGAGTTGGCTTTGTTTCAAGGATGCAAATATGGTTCAACATACATAAATCAATAAATACAATATATAAATAGAGTCAACACAACCACACTAACACCTCAATAGATGTAGAAAAAAGGCCTTCAATAAAATTCAACATCCTTTCATGTAAAATAACCCTAAAGAAACTAGGTATAATAGGGTTGTATCTTCACAGAATAAATGCTAAATATAACTTGTAGCCAATATCATAGTGAATAGGGGAAAACCGAAAGCAACTTTTTCCTCTAGAAAAGGGTTTCCATTCTCTCTACCTTTACTTAATATAGTACTTGAAATGTTCAGCAGAGAAATCAGGCAAGAGAAAGAAATAAAATAAATACAAATAGGAAAGCATGAAGTCAAATTATTTATGTTTATAAATATGATTCTATACTTAGAAAAGCCTAAGGCTCCATGAAAATGTTTAGAACTGATAAAGTCAGCATACTATGAGTAAACCACACAGCTATAGCTACCTGAGTTTTGACACAGATGCCCCATATCCTCAACTCCAAACCAGTCTTTTCATAGAAGGATTTTGCTTAGCTCAGTAATTCTTTTTTCCTTTCCTTTTTTTTTTGTTTGTTTTTCAAGACAGGGTTTCTGTTTAGTCCTTGCTGTCCTGGAACTCACTTTGTAGACCAGACTGGCCTTCAACTCGGAGATCTGCCTGCCTCTGCCTCTCGAGTGCTGGGATTAAAGGCATGTGCCACCACAGCCTGGCTAGCTCAGTAATTCTTAGCTGGGGTTGTGCATTAAAATCACTTGGTTAACTTTGTAAAATGATTCCTGCTCAGACCCTACCTCCAGGAAGTCTGCTTTAAGTGTGCTAAACAAGTTTTAAAGTTCTCCAGGTACATTTGGGAGGCAGAGGCAGGGGACCTCTGAGTTAGAAGCCAGCCTGGTCAACAAAATGAGTTCTAGGGCAGCCAGGGCTGTTACACAGAGAAACCCTGTCTCAAAAAACAAAACAACAAAAAAAAAAGTTAGGTAATTCTAATGTACAATGGAACTCAATAACCCATAGCTTAAATGAAATCACTTTTTTGTGTATATGTGGTGCTGAGGATAGAACCCTTAGGGCTTTGCACATGTTAGGTGCTCTACCACTGAAGACAGCCTCCCATTCCCTACATAACAACTCTTTTAATATTCTAAACATTTCATAATACAATGAAGAAAATATTCATAATTAGTTAATTAAAGTTAATGAAAGTTGCTGATAATATCATTAGTTTCTTACAGTTAGTTGATAGATAAAGTTTAAAAATATTATTTTAAAAAATCTATATACTACCTTGTAAACATTTCTGTATTTCACAGGCTTGTTTCTGGCATGGATCCTTTTGTGGCATATCCAGAAAACTAAAACAAAAAAATTATTAAAATGTTGCTTTTTTTAGTTATAAAGACTTTGAAGCCTATCTATCTACATAGAATTTTCTTCTGGGGCAAGTAGAATGACCTTACAATTGTTAGAAAAATAGTTGCACTAAAAATACTCTTTCTCAATTCATAAGATGAATCAACTATATTTTTATATTTCCATCTCAAGTATGGAAGATATAGACATGAAAAAAATTCAGTCTAGTCATCTTGAATATTGTAAGCAAATGTCAGAATGACACCACTGTTTTAAAGGCCTGGCCCAATGCCTGATTCTATGATTCACAAAAGAAACCCTTGGTAAATGATTAAACTTCTTGAACATTTTTTTCTTTCACTATTCATGTCAATAGGAATTATACGTACCTCAAGGAACTGATGGAAGAACTAAACATGATAACATATATAAAGTGCACAGAATAGTAACTGGAAAGTATTAAGAACTCAATACACAGTAGCTATTATACCCAAGTGCTTTTTTGTTTAAGACAGAGCCTCATTATGTTTCTTAGGCTGGCACCAAACTCCTGGGGTGAAGTGATTCTCCTGCCTCAGTCTTCCAAATAGCTGGGATTATAGACATGCACCATTGCTCTGGGCCCAAGACATATTTTAAAAAGCAAAACCTTACTTTAATGTGCATAAACTGTCATGACTGCTTTAATTCAGGAAAATTTTTACAAGTAAAAGAAACACTTTCCCTAAAATTAGCAATGTTAGTTGCTATTACCTCTTGAGAAAAGTGCCAATAAAAGTTAACATTATCTATTGAGGTCAAATGGAAGCCAAATATGTAAAATATTTGTAATCAAAGAATTTAGATTCACAAGGTTTTGATGAGAAACTTGTAAAAACAATTCAAAGACACAGGTTTCAGAAAGAAGGAAGGCACAGGAGCCTTTGAAACTAATTTTATCAGTACAAATAACCTTTTCCTCCCAGAACTCCTTAAGTTCTCAGTAGATCCAAATTAGGTCAGTACTGGGATGGGAAACACTAGAACAAAACCTCAGATATTTACAGAATGGAAGAAGGAAAAGCAAGTGATTTGCTGCAGGGGAAATAAGCAACAAATACATGTTGATGCTGCTAGAGGCTGCTCTCTTCTCTCTAAATCAGTACCAAGTCCTTGGTGATGAGGGCATCTGTTCTGTAGCATGTGCAGATTTTTGTGGGATTCACCAGATCCCAGGTTCAACCGATGAAGTCCATTAAAGGTTCTATGGCAATTTCCAGAGGAGTCAATTTCAAGTTACATTTCCTGACTAAATGCTTTTGTTGGCTTGATTTCTGCCCTGTGTAACCCTTTCTCTGTAGTGTCACTGGCAGTGTTCTTCATGACCCTTCCTAAATAAACTTCTGTAGTTTTTCAAACTACTCTCTCCCCACCCAGCCCCAAGTGTAGGAGCACTGTAGTGGTGAATGATGTGAATAGAACAGAGGAACATATCTTCCTACAATTCCAGCACCTGAAAAAAAAATCATTCAAATTACTACAACTGAATAGAGTGAAAACCAAGAAGGGGAAGAAGGAGGAAAAAAAATAGAAATACATACCAGGTTAATCATCAGGCAAAAGTTTAAGCAGTAGTTCCTGTACTCCCCTGACCTATCAGAAAAAAAGAAAGTTTATAAAGCACTCCATTGTAAGATCCCCAGTATAAGGGAAAATGATTGAGCAAAATGTGTACCATTAAATGATGCTGAATCTGCCACAAGCGAGAGTTGTTATCCATGTAGCGCTCCTCTGGGTAGAGTTGCCACATGAGAGGTAGCTGGGAAGTAAGAAGGTGACTTGGCCTAGTTGCATCACCTAAGGGAACTTGAACTTGCTGGACTCGAGCCTTTAGGAAACTTGTCTCCTAATAGGAATGATCAAAAATAAAACCAAAGACATCAGAATATTGAGACTAGATAGAAACCAGGTTACTTAAAAGCAAAAGCAAAAAAAAATTTTTTTTTAAATTAAAGCAGTTACCTCTTCCACCACAGCTACCCATGTGCGCTGATATTCGTCGCGGTAGACACCTTCTTGGTGAACCCAGAGATGATCGGGTGGAGCCCCCACATCCTCTCTTGCCATTCTGGGCTTTGGGTTCCAATTCTAGCCCTGCTTTTCTCCACCTAAGCCTGCAGCATCCGCGCACAGGACACAGGTGTGACTTTTGAGGTTTGAATGAACTCACTAGTGAGCAAGGTGACCTGGGACTAGCAACCACCAACCAGAACCAAACCTCATACATATCTATTTGTAAACCTACATATATCAAATGGCATCTTAAGCTTTCTGAAAATGAAACTGAAGTGACACTCAGGCAAAGCCTAGGTAATGCGAACTTTCTATGGTAAAGCACTCAAGAATTCTAAGTTCGTTCTGTGGGGAGATGAGATGAGAACTACAGGAGGCTGGGCATTGGTTTTTCTCTCTTTTGCATCTACAAAGCAGTATTCAATGGTAGTGTGTTAAGAATAGAAAATGCACAAAAGTGTACCTAAGGATACATGATTTTGGCAGAAAAGTAGTGAAACAGACACATGCATGCCATATTCTTCAGATAAAAGCCACTCCCAAGCAGTTTACATTTTTAAAAAGATTCTCAATGATGTATATGGCTTTCTAAAATGAGACTAAGTTTGTTACAAGGGCAAAGAAATACCTGTCTTTTTATTTTAAAAGTTATTTATACTAGTGAGGCTTATCCAGAAAGGGATTTTCATTTTAGCAAAAATATTTAGTGTAGTTTCATGACTTTCTGAAAGCAAACAACAGCCATCTATCTAGCTCCCTGTTTCACTTAAGCAGGATGTCACAGAAGCCTGTTTTTCTAAGAGGCATAGTTGTAAATTTTTATTCTACAAACTAGAAGGTCAAAAATATCTCTCTGCTCTTTAAAAGTGTAAATAAAGTACAGTTCTCAGAGTTTGGGGTGGTAAGGAAACTCTCCATAATAGTCCTATGCCCAGCTTTAGATCTCATAGCTTCAGATGCATTTTTCATGAACAGAATCTCATGGGAATCACTCATAGCATCATGATACAGATTCACTGTATTTCTATCTTTTACAGAGCACAAATACATCAGTGGGTATCTGTCCCACAACAGAGACCCCCCCATTCCCAATAAGTAGCTATTAATGGGAAAGGAAATGAAGCATAGTTTGGGAGATTGTTAGAGTCCTCAAAGTGATACTATCCAGAGCAAACCAGATGTCAATCATGATGTGGAATGAGAAGCCAGAAATAAAGGAATGATGCTAAGCCTAGTTCTTCTTTCTTTCAAGGATACCATCCTGAATCTGATTTTCCCCCACTTAACACTGTTTTTCTGCCTATCCCCTAAAAGGAAATTAGTAATAAAAACTATTGTCTCAAAATGGGTATGTTGGTGCATGCCTGCAATCCTAGCATGCCAGAAGCTGAGTAAAGTTCAAGCCAGCCTGGGATATATATATAGTAAATTTGAGGCCAACTAGTATATTATAGCTAAGCCCTAGGTTAACTACGTAAGGAGACCCTGTCGAGAGAGAGAGAGAGAGAGAGAGAGAGAGAGAGAGAGAGAGAGAGAGAGAGAGAGAGAGAGGGAGGGAGGGAGGGAGGGAGGGAGAGAGAGAGGGAGAGAGAGAGAGAGAGAGAGAGAGAGAGAGAGAGAGAGAGAGAGAGAGAGAGAGAGAGAGAGAATATGGTCACATTTTTGTGACAAATAAATAGGTATGATAGTTATCCATTTATTTCCTCAGTGATTATGATTCTGAACCTCTCACATGTTCCCCTTTTCATCTGGATGTACTCTCTCATTTCCAACTTATTTATGTTAGTATCCTTTTCTCCTTAACCAAACTCTTACTGTATGGTAATATCAACTCTTCTGTACACTCAAAAACTATGAGTTATCTTGAATTTCTTCTCACTCACTTGCTACACCCTATATCACCAGTTCCAGCAAATATCACCATTACCACTGTCTTCAAACCAAAATTTCTTTCAAATACCACGGTTGTTCAAGCTGCATACCCTTGCTCTTCCTTTCTATCTGCCTAAAATGCATGAGTCTCTAGATATACATTTGTAAGCCATTTTTTCATTTAGCAAATATAAGTGTTCTGCCTCTCTTGTAGAGCTTTAGACATACACACAACACACCCAGTAAATTCCAATACAAAAATAAAAATGAGCGCGCACACACACACACACACACACACACACACACACACACACACACAGCATTTTTTAAAGCAGGAGCCAACTGTTAAGGGTTTCAAGACCATCTCAACTTCATAGATATAGATAGGTCCTAGCAACAACCAACATGTTGACATTTAAATTTCTTTTGAATAAAAACAAAACTTTATTGGTCATACTGACATTGGAAGGAAATAATTCCAGTGGAAGAGAAGGCAGATAGAATGTGATATTCTAAATTACTATGAGGCACTACAAAATATTCTCAGAAGAAAAGCAGTATGGTGTGCTGCTGTGACCTCCAAAGGTTAAACAGGCTAGGCACTGACAAGATGAGCCTGGGAACAACACTCAGTTAGCCTGGATTTCTGTGTCCTATCATTCAGAGCATAAGGGCCCAGAGAAAGGCAAAGGCAGTGATCAAGAGACTGATAAGCCACCACATAACTATGAAAACATCAACACCCTCAGTAGATAAATGCAAAGGCTGAGCAAAAGGCATTTAGATCAAAGTCTATAAAAATAACATATTGGATGAATGGAACATCATTTCCATAAATGTGGTTCTTTAGAACTCTTGATCCCAACATTTTCCTTGGTCAAGTAAGTTTGGGAACATTGGAGATCATAAAAGCATATTAGTATAGTAAAAATTCCAACTAAGTTATACTGTACAGAGATTTTTAAATAGTTTAACATTTCCCAAACTTATTTGACTAGAGAACATTTTTTTTGGCATATGGTATTTGTTCACAAAATACAGGATTCTCCAAACTAAGGAATATCTTAAAACTACAGGATAAATTTAGTTACAAATTTAGTACAATACATGGAATATAAACCTATGCAATTTAACTTGAAAATACTACCAGTTTCAGATACAAATGCATCCCAAAATATGTTTTTGCATAACTTTACAGCTATAGCATCCACTAAAAGAGATGGCCTCCATAGAAGTTGCCTTGATTCCAAAAGCCATACTGACCTAGACACATTATTTTAGACACTTTGTAAATTAGGTTCTAAATGAATTTCAGAATATAAAAGAGCTTCCTTTGGTTGTAATTTAAATAAAACCATCTTTTTTTCCTTTACAGGAAGAATGGTTTTGTATTTTTTTCTTTACAAGAGTATGATTTGCTTTATTTTGAGGTATTTGAGTTTTTAAATAGCATCAATAAGTTGAATATGCTAATTATTTGAAGCCATTTAATATCCTCATCCAATTATGATTTCAGCTGCCAAAGAACATAGGTCCAGGTATCAGCTTGGCTGATGAATGAATCCTGCTTGTGCCACTTAGAAGCTTTGTGACCTTCAGACAACCTAATCTTTCTCTACCTCAGTTTCCCTGAGGTGTAAAATTATGAACATATTGACTGCAATGGTACTTATTAAACACTTCTCATATGTTTAACATATGTTTAGGTGCCGGGTGGTGGTGGTGCACACCTTTAATCCCAGCGCTTGGAGGCAGAGGCAGGCCAACCTCTGAGTTCAAGGCCAGCTTGGTCCACAGAGAGAGTTCCAGGACAGCCAGGGATACACAGAAAAATCCTGTCTTGGAAAATGAAAAACAAAACAAACAAAAAACAGAAACAAAAACATATGTTTAGGTACACTGACCCATTTGATCTTCATGGGATGTTATGAGATGGGCATTGGTATTATTCCCAATTAAAGGTAATGAAAGTAAGACACAGAGAAATTAGATAACCATTCCAACTAGTTCACCCAGCTAGAGATTTCAGAGCCTGATTCCAGTTGAAGCAGTTTATACACACCATGTATGCAAATTCTTAGTAGAGTCTTTAGCACATAATAAGCTTGCTATAAATGTTAATCATTATTTCCCTCTCTGGTCAAATGTTTGTAGCTGTAAAAGGTAGCATGAACATCCTACAATATGAGACTGACTAAAAAAAAGTATTTTTCTTCTTGAAGGCAGCTAAACAAATTGACAAATTCAAAAATATCCCTTAAGCAAATGTAATAAGATAGCAGTTCCTGCTGCCCCACCAAGGCAGGACATGTTAGCTATGAACAATAACTGAAAATAACATAAGACATAAAATTGAAACTTAAAGAGAAAATGCAGATAGGTCCAATTACACCCCTGCAGTTTCTCCAACGTTTATCATTATGAAAGTTAATCATGGAAAGATGTGACATAAGCATAAGGTAAAAAGAGAGGTTGTTGGCATATATATTGCACCACAGTGCCCTGGATTTGGGACAGTATTTGTAGTGAGACTTGGGTTGGAACTGACTTGGGAGAGAAGAGCAAAGCATCAACACCTCTTCAAGTAGCGCCTTGAGTAAGTTCCCTTCCAGTACTGCCATATCTGACTGGCTTCAGAATTAAAAAAGGAATTTTAAAAAACAAATTCAAACAAAAGCGTATCAGCTGTGGAGGCTGCGTGGCATATATTTTGCTTTAATTTATAATCAATACTAAATCCCTCGTGTAATTGGTAAACTTGTAAATTGGAAGGAAGGTTTGTACATTTATCCCTTAGTTCATTGGCATATTTTAAAATAAAATAAGTTTTACATATAAGTTAATCATGTCTGACACCAGGAAAGAGATCAGGTGAAATTTGTAATTTCCTGGAATTAGTTACTTGATGTAATACATTCAAACGCAAATAAAAAGTTGTCTCTCCCTCAATCCTTCTTTTCCTGTATCAAACAAATATATATCTAAAAGCTTTTGTAAAAAGTAACAGCAAGCAAACTGGAGTTACTTTTTCAGACACAGTAAAACACTGTTTCTGTAAAAGGTTACTCACATGTATATAATGATTCTTGGACTAATTACACCTTCTCCGGAACAGCTAGGCTAAAACTTCCAGGTCTCCCACCCTGGGACACTCAAGCAGGGATCTCGATGCAAGCCCAAGGCGAACCAAGGGACATCCAGGGCCGAGGTCACTAGAACCGAAGTTAGGAGGTCAGGCCAGCATCAGGACGTGGTCCAGAGAGATTCAAGGGCTGTGACTTGGAAATAAAACAAAATAAAATAAAACCTTAACTGTTTTAGGACCAACTTTCAAAAGAGGCCGTTGTTCGTGGCGATGTCACCTCAAAGCGCTGTCCCTGACGCGTGTAGGCCGCGCAGGGTTCTCAGCGGGCGGGCAAAATGGGCGCCAGCACTGTGGAGGCGTCTGCCCTTGCTCCTGAGAGCTGCTCACAGCCCACGTCCGCCCCGGCGGACAAACACCGCCTCCCTGCCACCCAGCCACCCAGCGGCCCGGACTGCCGTGCAGACTGCCTTTGTCAGCCACCACCAGTGCCCCACTGCTTCGCCAGCCCAGACAGACCAGTGAGTCTCCCAGGTGCCGCTAGGAGGGCACCGCCTCCGCGCCCCAGGCTCCGCCTCTGTGAAAACCGCGCCGCTAGGCCAGGCCTGGGCGGAGCATCCAGCGGCCGGCTGGGAAGGTTGCGTCGGAGTACGTGGTTGGCCAGGCTGCTGTGGGCGTTAGGCGGACGTGCGGAACCTACAAAGATGGCGGTGCAGGTGTTGCAAGCTGTTCAAGCGGTTCATCTTGAGTCTGACGCTTTCCTAGTTTGTCTCAACCATGCTCTGAGCACTGAAAAGGAGGAGGTGATGGGTCTGTGTATAGGGGAGGTGAGTAGGTCGGCCAACCTGGCTGAAACCTTGCTGATCAGTAGTACCCAGTGGTACCTGAATCGGCTGGGAGGCCACAGGAACGCGATTTAGGTCCTTTGCGTTTTGCGTTTTGTAATGCTGTCGCGGGGTCCTTTTCCTCTGGCCCTGTGATCCATGCTTATGTTCCTGCAAACTCTCAGCGGTCTGCATGAGCCCACGGGGGTGGGAGTTGTCACACCAGTGACCAAAGCTGAAAATCAAGCCAGAAACACATTCTGGTATAATGAGGATATCGAGGTATTAGGAAACAAGCAGACCACGGTTAAAACTTCTTGTCTCGCTACCAGTTTTCCCTATGGGAAACAGAGCTATCACTAAAGCATTTTAAAGTAGGGCAAAGTACTCAGGCCAGAAGGGTTTTGTGGACTCCAAAGTCTGTTGTGGTTAAATGTTACAGACGTGTGTAAGTAGATGAGGAAATACACTGTAGCTGTAAAGTGCTCAGATTGAATTCTCCAGTCTTTCATGCTGTTGTGTATGAACATATGACCTAATTTTCATGTAAATTTGCATCCCTATAACTTAATAAACAATGTGTCAGTAATGTTTTCTGCTCTTTCCTACTCCAGTTGAATGATGACATAAGGTAAGACTATATTTGTTTACTTACATCATATTATAATCTCTAAACTGATTCTTAGTGAAGAACTGCAACAATTTTGGTAATAGTGTGTACATGTTGTATCTTAACATTTACAGAACAGAGCTCCCTCAACAATACAATCTGAATTCTACCACAGCCCTAAAGATTCATTTTAACCTTATATTATAGCATGATTTTTATTTGAGACATTTATGCTCTCATGTGGAAAAATCTGGCTGAAGGAACCAACATCATAAGTGCATAAATGAACCTGTAAAAGTTCTTATAAATAGAATTTTGTTGGAGCTCCAGGAGCCCAATTGGCTACTGCATGATAGGTACACAAATAGAAATTTGCTGACTGAAATAAAGGCAGCTTATTAAAAATGATTATCAATATACTTGACATTTGGCTCTATTGCTTTCCATTTTCTTGCTTTGTATTTTACATTCTCTCTTCCCTGAAATGTCAGAGATATATATGCCAGTAACTTTCATTGTAGCAGATAATATCCACACATTGAGAGGCTTTTCCCTTGTTGATCTATTCCTCCATCTAAATCATCAGTGGATTTCTGTCCCTTTCCACCCCCACCCCTGTGAACCCTACAGTGATCCTAGAGGTTACTAGTACCTTGAAAGCTTGAGAGATAGTAAAACCTTTGGGTCTCCTTTGTTTAAACAGCAAAGCATAGCTTATTGTTTATCAAGCCCCCTCCTACCTGGAGTCTACTCTGTTCCCTTTCCCTACTCTTTTGTTTCAGCTAAGGTTACAGTGCAAGAACTGTTTATCTTATTTTTCCTTGACTCCTTTTTCTATTCCAAACCCTAGTTCCCCCCTTTTCTAATCTATCTCCAATAGGAATGACTCCAAATTTACATACACTGGAACTGAAATGCGCACAGTTGCAGAAAAGGTATGTATGATAAAAATTTTGCATGATGGAAATTTTCAGCTGGGGAGGAATTTCTGCAGTCTGTTTGATGACTTCAGCCAGGATATTAATTCACTTTGTAATTGTGCAGCATGTTTTTTTTTCTACTAAAATCAGATGAAAAATCTCACTAGAATGGGACCTAGTTAGTTTCTGTTCTTTGTAGGAACTTCACTTGATGAATAGAAATAATCTGATCAACATTACCCTGTTCCTCTCCTTGCTGTCGCTGCCTGTTTTCTAGCTTTTCTCCTACTTTACTTAAGACTTTGAGGTTTGGTTCATATTCTTGTTACCTTTTTACCTAGTCCCAAGTAGTCTATTTATACTTCTTATAGGCAATTTATTCATGGTGTCATGATTTTTAGCCCACTCTGGCTTGTCTCATGAGTGTGCACTCCCACCCCACTTTTCATGCCATTCTCTAAGCTAATTGTATAAAACCAGTTAGATTTTCCTTCAATATAACAGAAGCTAATGATTCTGTAAACTGTAATAAAAATAATTTGTTTACTGTAAACTATAATAAAAAAAATGTTTCTTATCCTTTCTCCAAGCTATTAGGCCTTAAAGCATCTACTTATTTTTTTTATATACAAACTCCTTCACCATAACAACTTAAGCTGCCTTTCTTCCTGTGTTTTCTAGAGGAACAGAAGCAATAGAATTGAGATCTCTTTCTTTCCCTCTCTATGATATTTGTTATAAAAGGCAATTTATAGGATTTCTTACCCAGTTGGGGTGCTGGTGGTCCAAAATTGACTTTCTGCATAGTGGAGAGTAGGATAATTCAGTTCAGAGCAAAGAGGACAAATGTTGCAGCCCCAATCCAGGCCTCGGAGCTCCCTGGAGCATAGCTGCTGTGCGTCTTCATTGGACAGCTGGAGGCTCTGGAATCTGGTGGCCATGGGCGATGGTGACAGTGCTACATGCACTAGCTCGGGAAGGATGGAGCTAGGCTGCCCTGGCAGGCTTTCTCTTATTTTTCTTTAATTCTGCCTGGGCTCCCAGACTACTGTATGGAGTATCCACATGCAGGATTACTCTCCTGTGAATCAGTCTTCTCTGAAAATGATGCTGTAACAGGCACACCAGAAGTGAGCTTCCCTAATCTTACTCTAGGTATCTGTCAGTCCAGCCAAGTTGACAACCCAGATTAACCATAACACTTCACCTATTTAAAAAAAATGTCACAGGGGCGAAGGATAGCTCCATGGTTAAGAGCACTGGCTGCTCTTCCAGAGGTTCTGAGTTCAATTCCTATCATTCACATGGTGGGTCACTACCATATATAACTGTAGTCCCATGAGATCTGATGCCCTCTTCTGGTGTGAAAATGTACATGCAGACAAACACCAATATACATAAAGTACATATAATAAATAAATCTTTTTTTAAAAAGTCACATTAGACTACAAATACTCTCATTTGTAGTCTAATGTAGTCAGTCTCTTAAGAGAGTGACTCTTAAGTCACTCTCATTTTTTTTAAGATTTATTTATTTATTATGTATATGGAAGAGGGTACCAGATCTCATTACAGATGGTTGTGAGCCACCATGTGGTTGCTGGGAATTGGACTCAGGACTTCTGGAAGAGCAGTCAGTGCTCTTAACCTCTGAGCCATCTCTCCAGCCCCTGTCACTCTCATTTTCAAGAAGAAAACCTAATTATTAATTCTATATTTTCCTTTACTCAACTACTCTTTTGTAAAGTTTTTTCTTGTTTTTAGCATGTCTGTATACCAATATTTATAGCTCTTATTAGCAGCATATAAAAATCTAGTCTGATAATCTTTTTATTTGGAGTTTGTTATTTTTAGTATTTACTAATATGTATGACTTACAGTTACCATTCTTTTGCTTTCTATTTAATCCACCTTTTATTTTAAATTACTCATTCTCTTTTCTTGCCTTCTTTTGTGTTAATCAAATATAATTTATTATTCTATTTTGACCCTCCACTTATTATAATAGTCTTTTATGTTTTTAGTGGTTTTCCTACATATTGCATTATGTATTCATTTGTTACAGTTTAATACAACTATTTTTGCCATCTCTCCAATAATATGATTTGTTATATCTTGAATAAACTCATTGTAAGTTGAAAATATAGACCAAACATCCTAGCACATTGTGCATTATCCATTTTTTATCTTCATGATTGTATGGCTTACTGAAACCTGCAGCTCAGCATTGCAAAAGTCTATTATGCTACATGTTTATCATCAGCCCAGGAAAAGATTTAAATTTGAAGTACAATTTCTGCTGAATATATACCACATCCCCATCAGTGTAAAGTTTAAAAATTCCTTGGTTGAATAATTGTAAGTTGGGGAGTATTTGTACTAAAACTTTTGAACATTTTTTATTTTAATTTATTCCCTTCTACCTTTTGGATTATTGTCATACATTTTAATCCTATATGTATTTTGAGCTTTATTTAACATTGTTATTACTTTTTTGTTCACTCTGTATTCATTGTGTTTATGCAAATATTTTTATGGCACATAGTCATTCCTTCATTTTTTTGGAATTATCTTTCTGTTTGAAGAACTGTAACATTTCTGTCCTGATAATAGATTCCCTCCATTAGGCATCTGAAGATGTCCTTACTTTGTCTGCAGTTTAAAGGAACCATTCTTAGAGTATAGAATTATTGGTTTGCATGTATTTTATTTTAGTTCTCTAAGATGTAATCTTTGGGATTTCATAGATCCTGTTGAAAAGTCAGTTATTTGTCTCATTATTCTTTGAGAGGGGATGCATCTGTCTCTGTTTCTAATTTTATTTTTCGTCTACTCTATGCCCGCCACACATTGTATTAGTTGCTGGTAAGAAAGTCATAAATGAAATATGGTCCCTGCTTTGAGAAGCTTGTATTCTAGTACCAGAGGAAAGTGTGAAAATAAATAGAACACAATGTGTGTTCTAGAAGAAATAAGTGTTTATCTATTATGAAAGAATATATATGAGAGGAAAATGATTAGATATTTATAGTGTGGTCAGGAACTTAATATAAAAGAGATTACCAAGTGAAAATATTTACACAGAAGGGAGACTATGTGAAAAGCCACATAAAATAGAAACACATGATTTATGGGAACTGAATAATACAAAAGCATAACAACCTTCTGAGATATAAGCCCTCTAGAGCTATCTGTGTTTTCAACAAATTATAAAGCCAGGTGGCTCACATCTGTAATCTCAGCACTCAAGAGGCCAGGCAAAGGATTTTTGTGAGTTTCAAGCTAACCTAAGCTACATAGTGAGTTGCAGGCCATTTTGGGCTGTAGAGTAAGACCTTGTCAAACAACAACAATGAAAAGAACAGGTTATCCCTTAAGCAACATTTTATTTATTAAAAGAATAGTCAGTATTTGTTATGCAATTGATACCTTGTCTTGATTTTTGTCTATTTAGGATAGGTTTTCATACCAAAATGCTTTTAACAATATTCACATTTTCTTTAATAAGTAGCTACAGCAAAAGAATGAAAATAATGTTAATATAAGGGTATATTTTATTTGGTTTTATTATGTAAAGTATTATTTCAATATGTAGTCAATATTTAAGAAATGTTGAGATATTTCACATTCTTCCCCCTCCCCTTTTTTGAATTAAGCCTTTTAATTACAGTGAGCATCATATTTATGTTTCATTTAAAATCAGACTTAACATATTTTAAGAGCTGTGCCTAATGGATTTTATATTGTACAGTAGGGAGATCATAGCTTATGTCAAAAACTTCCTCTCAGATTTCATCTTTATCTTGCCACTTCTGTCATTGAAAGCCAACTGCCCCCACCTCAATCCCAAACTCGAACCATTTCATTGCTCTTTATGTCTTATTTGTCTTTCTTCTCCTTTTTACTCTACACTGTTCTAAATGTAGACACCCCTCTTGATTTGGGCCCAGACCTCTGGCCCCACTCTCCATACTTTTTTTGTTACTTCATGAAAATTTTGTTGATGGTTTCCAAACTGATTCTGTTTGAGCCAAAGCTTAAATACTACCAGAAAAACATTGCCATATTTAATTTCCTTCTAGTTCATCCTGAAATCTACTACCTGATATTAGAAACTTCGTACATCCTTTCATTCTGTCTTTTCTTAGCCCTACTATCTTCCATTCCACCTCAAGCTATACAACTACATCAGTTAACCAACCTGTCTCCCAAACATTTTACTCACACTTTACCTCTCTGTAGCTTATATACCTACATGGCAACTGTAGGAATTCTATATGTCCATGCACAGCAATCAACAAATACATACATTTACCTACCTTCTCTATGATTAACTTTTTTCTAATGTAAGTGACACTTCTGATTTCCTCTAACATTGATTTTCTCCATTATTTTAGTGTAGTTTCATGTACAATACTTTCTCCTTAACCATATTATTAGCATTTAAACAGTTTTATATTTCTTCATATGATAATGCATTTTGCACATCTTAGATGATTATTCAAAAAGTACATCCTTGATCTAAATACTATGAAATATGTATCTTGATTGGGATATGGTATATTGAAAACATTTATTAACTAGGAATAGTGATGCATGCCTGTAATGCCAGCACTTTGGAGGTACAGGCAGGAGGATCAGGAGTTTAAGCCCAGCTCCAGCTACACAGCAAGTTGAAGGCCAACCTAGACTATATGAAACTGCCTCAAGAATACAATATAAATTTAAATATATATATAATATTGCATCATTAATAAGAAAAGCATCAGTTTTCAAAACTGAAATTCTCTACTGCTACTTTAATAAAATGTAATCCTATAATTACAGGAAATTGGAGAGAGAAATGTAATTGGCCAAAGAGAGAAATAACCATTTCTTTGGATTTTCCTTTAGATGGATACCATCAGAATTGTTCACATCCATTCTGTCATCATCTTGCGACGTTCTGATAAGAGAAAGGACCGTGTAGAAATTTCTCCAGAGCAGTTGTCTGCAGCCTCAACAGAGGCAGAAATATCCTTACTATTAGATGCTTTGTGTGCTGTGGGGCTTCTGGGCCACACTGATGCAATTGCTAGAGTCATCTTACTTTAGGTGGTTTCATAAATTTTCTCCTTGGTGAATGTTCTCTGGTTTTCATATTGACCTTTTAGATCTAATTCATATTCTCTCTCTCTCTCTCTCCCCCCTTTCTCTCTCTCTCTCTCTCTCTCTCTCTCTCTCTCTCTCTCTCTCTCTCTCTCCCTCTCTCTCTCTTGTGTGTGTGTGTGTGTGTGTGTGTATTCAGATATTGTTTCTTAAACACTTTCTACCGTTAAAAAAGTTGTGCTTTACAAAGTAGCAAGTTTCCACATGATATTTTCCTACATGCTTACGTTCAGTTTCCCCTCCCTCCATTCCCTCTGCTCCACCATCTCCCTGCCCCCCCACCCGCACTTAAATCTCTCCTCAGTATTTTCTTCCTGCTTCCACATATGTTCTATTACCCTCCTCATTGTGCTTCCTTAAAGCCCTATTCCTGCCCCTCATAAGCCTCTTTCTGGTTTCCTCACTTCTACACACATTTATTCCTCATTCATTCCCACAAAAATACACATATATAAAAATTAAAAGCTAGGACCCACATATGAAAAAGAACATATGCTGTTTGTCTTTCTGGGTCTTGGTTACCTCACTCAATATAATATTTTCTTGTAGATGTAACCGTCTTGTTAAATAAGAAACACAGAGCCAATGCAGAGATGAAAGCCCAAGAGGTCAGAGTAATAGCTAAGCGCTAAAAACCTTACCCTTCACTGCCGTTCTTGTCCTTCCCTCCACAAGAGAGCTCCTTCCTTTGTCTGCCTTTTTATAGACTTTCTGTTCTGCCTTCTCATTGGTTGTAAACACAACCACATGACCTCCTCATCACTGCCTATCTATACAGACCTCCAGGTCTTCTGTGGTTGGTATTGAGATTAAAGGTGTGTGTCTCCATGCTGGTGGTATCCTTGAACACACACAGACTCTGCCTGTCATGTGATCGGGATTAAAGGTGTGTGCTACCACTGTCAGACTTCTGCTATGGCTTGCTATTAGCTCTGACCTCCAGGCAACTTTATTTATTAACATACAAATAAAATCACATTTCAGTACAAATAAAATATCACCATATTTTCTAACTCCACCACATTTTAATTATCCATTCATTAGTTGACGACATCTAGGCTGCTTTCATTTCCTTGCTGTTGTGAATAGAGCAGCAGTGAGCATGAGTGTGCAAGTATCTCAGTAGTAAGCTATGGGGCTTTTGGAATATATGCTTAGGAGTGGTATAGCTTGGTCATATGGTAGTTATATTTGAGTTATATGTTTGAGGATCCTTCATACTGATTTCCTTCGACATGGTACCAGTTTACACTCCCACCAATAGTTCCTTTTCCTCTAAAACCTTGCCAGTATTTGTTGTCATTTGTTTTCTTTTTTAAATTAAGTTTTATTTATGTATATGAATGTTTTGTTTGCATGTATGTATGTGCACCACGTGTGCCTGGTGCCTGCAGAGGTCAAAAGGCATTAAGTCTCCTGGAACCAGAGTTACAGATAGATGACTGTGAGCCACCGTGTAAGTGCTGGGAACTGAATCTGGATCCTCTGCAAGAGCAGCAAGTAATCTTAACCACTGAGCAATCTGTCCAGGCCTGTTATTTGTTTACTTGATGATAGCCATTCTGACTAGGTTACAAGTTCTGGGGATGGAACTCAAGAGCATGCACTTAAAGAGCAAGTACTTTGTAAACTGAGCCATTTCTTCATCCCAGGTTAATCAGAATTTCATTTCTTACTGTTTCTTTTATTGGAAGAAATAAAAATTTTGGACAGTCATACTTGTAAATGTCCACAGGACCTAGGGTAAATCACTCTACAGTGAGCTCTATATGCAGTACCTTTTGCCTCCCATCATACTTTCTACACATTGGCTCCATTCCTTCCTGCCCTTCCAGTTTTTCTAATTTCTAGGTTGTTCACTATCTTGGTCTCTATCCCTGAAAAGATTAGTTTGTGAACCTTTCTCTCAGAAAATGTCATGAAGAGAACTGAACACATGATGCCATGTTAAAGATAACCAAAGAATTATTTGTTTCCTGTAGTCTGAGTTCCATACCTTATCTATGGCAAGTTAACTTTATATCAGTGCCTCCAATGGTTTATTGTTCTACCAGATTAAGTTAATCTTGTCCTGGTCCTGTCTGTGCATAAGATGGAGAAAATGAATTTTAAAATACATTTTATACTTTTTAATTTGGGGCTTTTTAAGAGAAGGTCTTATTCTGTAGCCTTGTCTAGTCTGGCCTCCACTTCTTTAGTGCTGGGATTGCAGATATCAGCTGCATCAATCCTGGCTCCTTTGTATACTTTTAAAGTTAACACTATGCATACATACTATTTATATTAAATTTTATGATTTATATTTAAATTTAACAGTCTTTGTTATCTATAGGCCCATTTTGTTTTGGGGGGATTTTTATTTGTTTGTTTTTCAAGACAAGGTCTCTCTGTGTAACAGCCCTGGCAGTCCTAGAACTCACTTTGTAGATCAGGCTGGCCTTGAACTCACAGAGATCAGCCTGCTTCTGTCTCCTGAGTGCTGGTATTAAAGGCATGTACCACCAACTCCTGGCTGTAGGTCCATTTTGTAATAAATTGTTAATATATTGAATTTAACATATTTCTATGTTAACAATTCATTAGAAATCAATAACAAAATATATTTATTTATTTTTTGGTTTTTCAAGACAGAGTTTGTATAGCCCTGGCTGTCTTTAGAACTCACTCTGTTGACCAGGCTGACCTCAAACCTGCCTCTGCTTCCCAAGTGCTGGGATTAAAAATGTGTGCCACCATCAGCTGGCCTAACAATATGTTCTTATTACTTGGAGTATAGTCTCCCAGTCAGACAGGAAATACAAAAGCAATAAAGTTACTTTCTTTTTCCTGTGTTTAGATTTTAGAATTTGAAGTTTTTATATGTATTTAGAGTATTTTGTTGATGTCTCATCAAGTTTTTCTCTATTAAATTTTGGATTTTGTAATACTTTGAAATATAAATAAGGCATAGAATATTCTAGCTTATATACAACCTTTTAAAAATACTTTTTTCAAGGAGCATGGATTGATTATATGTAAAAATATATTTCCTTATTTTCTAGTCACATAATATTTCATATTCAAGTATATTTACATGCTTTGTGCATTTATATTACTTTTGAGCCAATTTTTAGCTTATAGTAGAATTATTTACACAAATTTCTTAAGTATTTTCATGACTAGATAAAATAGTCATGAAAAATGCTATTATAGCTTTTTCAAAAAGTTGTATTTGTTTTTATTTTAAGTTTATGGGCATTTTGCCTGCATATATATGTACCACATGTGTGCCTGGTGCCCAAGGAGGCCAGAGGAGAGTGTCATATCCCCTGAAACTGGAGTTTATGAACCTGGGTCCTGTGGAAAAGCAGCTAGAGCTCTTAACCACTTAGACATCTCTTCAATCCCTCCTGTAGCTTTTTTCACCTTTCCTTTTATGTATTTTCTGTCCATCATGAAATCTCCTGTTCCTTTAGGACATCGATAGATTTTTATCTTGGCAATATCATCACTGCTGGTTTCTTATCCTGGTGTACCTGTCAATCATTACAGGATTTCTGAACACAGTAGTCACTCTGCTGTGTAAGTTGGAGCACTGAAATCTGCTAGCATGGGTATTCATCATTTCTGGATATTTAAACTGCAGGGCCATCTTATTTGCCACGTCTAAAGAATTTGTTAGAGTCTAAAGCATCTTTACTTATGTCAACAAAATATAGTTTACTTAATTTTACATCATGATGACATTTGTAAATCAACAATCTTAAAATATATAATTTTACAAATATATATCTTTAAATATATAAATATAAATTTTATATATTTTATTATTTTATGTGTGAGTATATATATACCACATGTGAATGCAGGTGCCTGAAAAGTTCAGAAGAAGACATTGGATCCCTTGGAGCTGGGGTTACAGGCAGTTGTGAATTTCCTGATGTGGGTGCTGGGAAATAAACCCACATCTTCTGCAAGTACAGTATAGATTCTTAACCACTAAGCTGTCTCTCCAGCTCCTAATGTAGCAACCTTGTCACCAGAAAGTGCAAGTCTTAACTGCCACTCAAAATCTTATATTAGTATGGAAGAATTATCAACAGATTCTCCTAACATGGCCTGCTTGGTTTCATCTTCCCTACCTTTCAACCTTTGCATGGTCCTTATTGAGGAAATTAATTCAAGAATTTGACTGATCCAATTGTTGAGATACTTCTTCATCAGGTACATTTTTACCAACCAAAGCTCTGAAAACTTTGCTAACATTTTCTAGAGTATGCACTTATACACACATTCTATTGAATCCCAAATGGTGTGATGATCTCTATAGAGAAAATAAACCTGACCACAAATGCTATTAATTACTTTATGAAAAACTACAAAGCAAACTAGCTGTCATCTTGTAGTGTTACTGCACCTATTTCAAGGTTATATCTCTGTGTGAAACTGGGGCATTAGTGGCATGACAGGCCCCCAAATGTGATGCCTCATCTAAATGATTCTTCTGTGTTTCACTATTGCTAATCTGCCTAGGAAAATAATTTGTCAGCTAGGGTATGATGCACATGCCTGTAATCACAGTACTTATAAGGCAGAAGCCAGCCTAGAGTATGTAGTGAGACTCTGTTTCAATAATAAAATAGTTTTATTTCTTTCAACTTTTTTTTCATATTTTTTGAGACAGGGTCTCACTATGTAGCTCTATCTGTCCCGTACCTCACTTATATTTTTCTTATGAGTAAACTTAGGCTTTTTGTTGTTTTGTTTTATTTTGTTGTTGTGTTTTCTTTTCTTTTTTTTTTTTGGAGACAAGGTCTCACTATTTAACTCTTGTTGGCCTAGAACTCACTGTGTAGACGAGGCTGGCCTCAAACTCACATGTACCTCTGCCTCCTGAGTGCTGTAATAAAAAGATATGTTTCATTACATGTAGCTTAAAATTAGGTTTTCATTTTTTAAAGAGTTGGTAATATTTTTTACTAAATTATCTGTTTATTTGTTTTTCTATAGGTTTGAAAATGTTTTATTTTTCAAGAGGATTTTTATAAATTATAAAAATTATCTTTTTGAAAGTAGGGTAGTAATTTTTTTCCTGTTTACTTGGAAATGTAAGTGTTTACTGTTATATGTGCTCCCTAATATAATTGTAGTTCTCTTTATATTTTCTTATTGATTTATTAATCCTGACTGTTTGCCCTTTACATTTTTAAAAATTCTGTTTCTGAAATATTTGTAAATCCATTAGGAATTAAAAAATAATACAGAAAAGTCTTTGTAACCTTGACCCAGTTTGCCTGTAGGCTATATCATACAAAATTATAGCATAAAAAGAAACCAGGAAATTGACAGTGACAGAATATTTATAGTTCTATGCTACTTTGTCACATGATATAAATAGCCACCTAAATAGTCAACTTTCAAAACTGGGGACCAATGAGATAGTTCCATGGGTAATGGTACTTCCACAAAAGCCTAGTGACCTAATTTCTGTCCCTGGAACCCACTTAAAGGTAGAGAATTGACTACAAAAAGTTGTTCTTTGATTTCCACATGCTCACTGTGGCACATTGCATCTGTACAAACCATACACAAAATATAATACAAGTTTTAAAGATATAAAACTATTTTCTTATGCTACCTTTTCATAGTCACATCCAATGTTTCCCTGTCACACCTTACGCCTGACAGTCACAAATGTGTTCTTTGTCTCCTTACCTTACATTTGCTGCTACTTTGTATCCTGGCCATGTGGGCTTTAATGTCACAGTCTACCTTTTCTTTATTTTCTGAGTATTTCTGTATTGCTATACAGACCCATGAGCTGGCTTCTAGGATTCTGTTGAGCAACTTGGAGAGCATCTGAGCCTTTTCAGGGTGAACTGTAGAGCAGAGCAACTCTTGAGTATAGGAGGTTTTCGTCACTACTAAGATAGGACCCTTTAAGCACTCTTCCCCCCTGCCTCCTAAAAGATGTCTCTCTACCTTGGCAGGGTATGTGTAGGGGGAAATAACTGCTGGTCCCCATTCTGCTTCTCAGGGCCAATTAGTTCCTTACCATTACCCTTGTAAGGGGTAATTACTTTTTCTTAGGCCTCAGGTCCTTCCCTCACACACTTGTGTTCCTCTGTGCCCTGTGGAGTACTCAAATGGGACCCACTGGACATATCTAGGGTTCTGTCTCTTTGAAGATGGTCTCTGCCCTGAAAGCTACTAGACTTAATGATCCATTTAAGCTCTAAGTAGTCCACCCGGCTTGACTTTTGTTTTCCTTCCCTATTCTTGTGTGGTCTGGAAGTCATCTCATAGGTTCACTTTATCTGTTTCCTATCTAGTGAACATTGTTACTTTGTGTATTTTAAAAACAAACAGAATTAACTGCCCTAACAAAAATTCCTATAGTTCTGAAAATGATGTTTTTTTTTATTGAGATTACTTGTTATATTCAAGTGGAAACCAACCCATTCTCAAACAGATAATGGCTGGGTACACGACTATACTTTACCATTACAACTACTATTTGTCCAGCACTTACTGGGAGCCAGGCACACACACCTTACACAGAGTGCCGCATCTACTCTTCACTACCATGTGAAATATTCTTCCCCATCTACAGCTAAAGAGATAGGTTAGAGGAATAAGCAATTTTTCTTGTTGTTTGAACATTAAAAGCACATTTAAGTAAGGTGTGGTGGTTCCACCTGTAATTCCAGGTTGTGGGAAGTGGAGGCAGGAGGATTGCAAATTTGAGGCCTGCCTGGCCTATATAGTGAGATCCTATCTCAAAAAGTGTACTGTTCCTCAGACTTAGTTGTATAAAATGTATTGTGTATGTGTATATTTAATTTTAATTTTATGTATATGGACATTTTGCCTGCATATATGTGTGTGTGTGTGTGTGTGTGTGTGTGTGTGTGTGTGTGTGTGTGTGTGTGCCTGGTGCCCATGAAACTAGAAAAAGGTGTTGGATCTCCTGGAACTGAAGTTACAGATGGTTGTGAGCTGCCCTGTGGATGCTCAGAATCAAACCTGGATTCTCTAGGAAAGCAGCCAGCGCTCTTTAACCACTAAGCCATCTATCTCTCCAGCCCATACATACATAGAATGGGAGAAAATATTTGCTGGCTATACTTCAGACAAGCAGTTAATATCTAGAATGTATAAAGAATTCCAAAAATTAAACACCAGAAAACCCTGCCAATCAATATATGCACAATGAACTGAGTAGACAGCGTACTCTTTTTAAAATTAAATAACTATTCTAATTAGCTCACAAATAAAAACAGCTAGTTTAACCTAGCCACTCAAACAATTGCCCAGTCCCAAGCTCTATACATCTCAATACAGTTAGAATGGCCATTCTGAAGCAGTGGAGCTTCACTTAGGTTTTTTTACTTTCATTATCAATCACATAGGTGTTTTGCCTGCATGTTTGTCTATGCACTATGTACATGCAATGCCTTGGAGGACAGAAGAGGGCATCAAATCCCCTGGCACTCTGCCATATGGATGCTGGGAATTGAACTCAGATCTTCTGGAAGAGCAGCCAGTGCTCTTAACCTCCTCAGTTCCTCAATTATATTTTTATTGACTTATCTATACAAAAATAAGAAACTATAACAGAGTTGAAACTAGGAAAAAATAGCATTAAATTCTCTTTCATGATTCATGTTCCCAAAAGAAGAAACATCTGGGCACCTGGCATGCACATGGTACATACATACATGCAAGTAAAACACTCACACAGATAAAATAAAAATAAATAGACCTTTTTTAGAAGAAGAAGCATGACCAGCCAATAAATATTTCAAAAGTGTTTAACATCCAGCCGTCAAGGATATGTAAATCAATTATGTTATGATCCCACTTCACGTCAGTCAAAATGGCAATCATTGGTTGTGTTTTAATATAGGTAATTTGTAGGAAAATTAAGCAGCATTTTACAGGACATGGGAAACTGAACTGTGGACTTTATGTGCCCTGCAACTACTTAACTTTGCTGTTTTTAACATTTGACAGCCTGCTATAGAGAAATCAAATAAATTAAAAAATTATTATGGCTTGAAGTATACCTCCTTAGGGGTAGAGCACTTACCTAGCATGCCTGTTCCATCCTACAGTGCACACATATCAGCATATATGGTTCTCAACCTGTGCATCATGACCCCTTTGGCAAACCTCTGGCTCCATAAATATTTACTTTATGATTCATAACAGCAACAAAATTACAGTTATGAAGTAGCAATGAAAATAATTCTATGGTTGGGGGGGTCACCATAACATGAGGAACTGTATTAAAGAATCACAGTATTAGGAAGGTTGTGAACCAGTGGATGTGAATATACATGTGTGCTTGTACACACACACACACACACACACACACACAGACATACATTTATTTATTTACTGAAAATGGGAGTAGACAAGACAAAAGATTCTCAAATTGAGAATATAAATGAATTCTGAAGATTTAAACAAGCTTTTTTGCAGAGAATGTAATGATTTGAATGACCAAACATTTGCACAATTGGAGTAAGACGATGTAATAGAAATATGAGTTATATTTAAAGAAAAAACTGACTTTAAGTGAATAACATTGGAAGTTCTGAGCATTGACCCTAATTATGTATTTTGAGCCTTTATTATAAGCATCAGGGTTTTCTTATTTTGAAAATACCTTGACAAACATACAGGTTGGCTGAACTAACAGGCCGTCCCATGAGAGTTGTTGGCTGGTATCATTCCCATCCTCATATAACCGTTTGGCCATCCCATGTTGGTAAGTGTTATAAGGTTGCAGTGTTTGTTTATTTCCCTCAAATGAATATAATTTTTCTTCCATTACATAGCATGGTCATGAAAAGGATTTCCTTCTAAGAAAAAGCCTATCTCTAGTCTAGAGGAAATTATCAAGTTTTAGGGATAGCTGAAGTTTTCAATTTTTTTTCTGTGCTACATTTTGTGGTAGGGCTACTCTTGGCTTAAGCACCTGGAGTTACTACTTAATAGCAAACTTTTCATAATATTCTTTAACTTGGCAAAATATGTTCTGACATTCATATTATCATTACAGTATCTCTATTTTGCCTGTAGAATATGAATGTTGACAAGATAACTAATAATTAGTCACTACTGTTATCTTTAAATAAAATCTGTTAAATATAAGTTATTAACAGAATATTTTTATTTATATTTCAGATGTTCGTACACAAGCCATGTACCAAATGATGGATCAAGGCTTTGTAGGACTTATTTTTTCCTGTTTCATAGAAGACAAAAACACAAAGGTATTGTATGTATAAGTGTATGTGTGTACATACACATTTGTGTATGTATGTGTGTGTGTGTTTGTACACAGAGTAGATACAGAATAGAGAAAAATCTCTTTGCAATTTTAATAGGAAGTTTTCAATGGAAAGGGTTATTGAGTCAAGATTAGAAGAAGGTAAGGGAGCAAGTCTTGAGTAATTTCTTGGGGGAAGATCATCTTTGACAGAGGAAATAGCAAGTGCAAGCACCCTAAGGTGAGTGTGGCATTTTCAGGTAACATTAAGGAAGTTGGTCTGGCTGTAGTAGAGAGAAAACCATGACAATATATTCCAATTTGCCTCAGTCTTAATTTTTATACTTACTTTGCAATGCCCTATTTCACTAGCCTTTTTATCTCTTGAAAGTATTCTGATTTGGTCATCCTTAAAAGAGGCCCAAAATATAAAGGGAACTAGTTTTTGTAAGGCCTTTACTTTGCCTCTGAGTTGGGAAGCCATTACAGGGTGACTTTATGTCTTAATAGAATTACTCTAGGTATTATATTGCTAATGGACTGGACAGGATTGGAGTGGGAAGGGTGAAATTAATGGCATCAAAGAAACCAGTTAGGAAGATATTGCCAGTAATCTAGGCAAAAGATAATACAGCTTTGATCATGGTGTGAAGAATGAATATTTTCCATAAATTCATTGTAGCTAGAGTTTTCCTGCCTGGCCCACAGTCAGGACAAATCTGTCACCCGCCAGTCCCACAGCCGCTCAGACCTGACCAAGTAAACACAGAGACTTATATTGGTTACAAACTGTATGGCCGTGGCAGGCTTCTTGCTAACTGTTCTTACAGCTTAAATTAATCCATTTCCATTAATCTATACCTTGCCACATGGCTCGTGGCTTACCGGCATCTTCACATGCTGTTTGTCATCGTGGCGGCTGGCAGTGTCTCTCTGACTCAGCCTTCCACTTCCCAGCTTTATTCTCCTCCTTGTCCTGCCTATACTTCCTGCCTAGCCAATGGCCAATCAGTGATTTATTTATTGACTAATCAGCAACACATTTGCCATACAGAACATCCCACAGCAATTCATTGTCTTCCAGAAACACTAGAATTCAATATTTGGAATTTTATAATTATTTTTGAAATGCTTTTGGTTTTTTCACTTTTAATTTACTTGTTGTCATCATAAATAATAAATGAGGTTAATCACTTTCCTGGTTCTCATATTTATTAATAATTCTATCTTATGAGAAGATGTTTGGCTGGACTTGTATTGATTGTGTATATGATTCTTCTCACAGAAATTGATTTATTTATGGCATATTCTATAATCTTTGGAATCTCTTTTAGCCTAATATGTCCATAAAAGCCTTTGAGTTTTAAGTTAGAGTCTACTAAATTGCTATGAAATTTCCAACACAAAAATGATTACTGGTACACCAGGTGGTGGTGGCTCATGCCTTTAATCCCAGCACTCAGGAGTCAGAGGCAGGTGGATCTCTGAGAGTTTGAAGCCAGCCTAGTCTAGAGATCGACCTCCAGGACAGCCAAGGCTATACCTTTTTGTCTCAAAAAACAAACAAAAAAATGATTAATGGTTAAAGACAGAAATGCTTGTTATACTGAGTCAATTATTCCACATTGTATATCTATATTGAATACTATAGTGTACCCTGTAAAGACATCCAGATATAATGTCTCAAAAAAAATAACAACAAAATGAATCCTTTTGTGTATGACATTTCCTTTCTATTTTTTTTTTCATAGACTGGTCGGGTACTCTACACTTGCTTCCAATCCATACAAGCCCAAAAAAGCTCAGAGTAAGTATGACAGAGATGTTATTATTGAGGGACAAATGCCTAGTCATGGAATTGATTGTTCTGTTTCATTTAATTTTTTTCATTAGTAAGACACTAATAGTACTATATTTCTACTCTTACCTACTAACATTTCTAAGAAAAATTAGAATTTCTTCACCAGTTTGGGTATTGTAAAAGTCTAGGAAGCTTTAGCCAGATACATAGTTTCTTTGTTATAGCTATATCACCATAGTCTTGGTCTACATTTCCCAAATCGTGTTGTACTGCTAGTTTCCCTTTCTCTGGTGTATTCTAAAACAAAGACCAAATGTGAAGAAATTTAGAGATTTTTGTAGATACTTCTCTGTTGCTACATAAACATTTTCAGTGTTGCTAAGGATGGAACCCGGGGCCCCATTAATACTAGGCAAACATTTACCATGGAAATGTAACTCTTGCCTTCCTGCCAAAAAAGTCATTTCAAAATTATAATATTTCATTTAAATGTTTGTATAGATTAATTTTCTCATTAAAATATAGTAAGCAGGGGCTGGAGAGATGGCTCAGTGGTAAAGAACACTGACTACTTTTCCAGAGGACCCAGGTTCAATTACCAGCACCTACATGGCAGCTTATAGCTGTCTGTAGCTCCAGTTCCAGGGGATCTGACACCCTTGCACAGACATACATGCAGGCAAAACACCAATATAATAAAAAACAAACAAAAACCCCATAGTAATCTATTGCTGGGCATGGTGGTGTGTGCTTTTAATCCCACCTTCCCACTCAGTACGGAGGAAGCAGAAGCAGGTATATCTCTGTGAGTTTCAGGCCAACTAGGGCTATATAGTAATATCCTGTCTCAAAAAACAAAAAATAAAACAAAACAAACAACCTAAACTCTACCTACTGTTATTGTTTTTATCTTGCTGTCACAAATAAAGGTGATGATCACTGATACCATCCCACTTCCATTCTCCAAAATGTAGCTACTATTTTTTTCATTTTTTTCTGATCTCTAATGAAGTTTGCTTTTTATTTTTGTGTTTTGAGACAGGGTCTTATGTACTCCAGTCTGAGCTTGTAATCCTGCTGCCTGTGCCTCCTCTGTGTTGGGCTTTTCAGACCCACTTAAAGTTTGCCTTTGTATTGTATTAACAATTGATATTAGACAATATTGATTTCGCTCTTCATGATTACTAAATTTTCATAGTTACAAACATCTGTGCTCAAGATTATAATCATAATTTCATTGTATATGTTTTGTATATTGATTAATTATAATAAAAAATAAATTTCATCATTGTACTTAGGTAAATATTATTCCCTCTTCAACTAACTAATGTCAACTAGTATACTATGATGATTCTGCTTTTTTTTGCATAGGTTTTGTTTTTTGTTTTTTTGTTTTTTGCTTTGCTTTTACATAATGTTTTGAATAGATTTTCTCCCTCATTTTTATCACTTCCTTGAGTTCTAAACTCTTAGAAATAGTATGAAAACACTTGGAATCCCTACATTTTAAGGATTACTCCATGAAATCATCCTATCCTCATCTGACATCTCCCTTAGGCTTGTTGCTCAACTGATATTCAGGGTGATGGGGGGCTGGTTTCTTTACTCCTGAGTTTTATCCATTATAGTTTGTATTCTTGATTCATTGTCATTTTGCTGAAGAGATCCTCTAGTAAGTTCCTAAGAATGGTGAGACATTTTTTGAGTCCTACTTGTCTGAAATGTTTTATTCTTAATAATAGTTAGGAGAATTGAGGCAGAAGTCCTGAATTCAGGGTTAGTGTGGCCTTATAGTTAGCAGAAGCAGATCCATCAGTATCATCATCTTTACAGCTTTCTCTTCCTTAGTAGGACACATGTCAAATACTTTTTTCCACATCCCTCTATAATTCCTCCCTCTCTCTTTAGAGAACTAGAAATAGAAGGGAACTTCTACAACATTTATGGGCATTTATTAAAACTCTAAATTAGCTGTTATACTCACTGTTGACAAATAAGTTTGTCACATAACAACAGAAATAGAATAAACATTTGCCACTGTTATTCAGCATTGAACTCGTAGTTCTATCGAGAGCAACAGGTTCAGCATCAAAGTTAGACAAGCAAAGTTTCATGGTTCATGTTCAAAGCACAAAATCAGTTTTTATTTATCAGCAGTGCACAAAAGAAAAATGGGAAAACAATTCCATTTAAAATAACATTAAATTTAGTAAAATATGTAAGAGAAAATTTAACCAAGGCAAGGAGAAACTTGATCCATTAAAACTAGAAAGTGCCGGGCGGTGGTGGCGCACGCCTTTAATCCCAGCACTCGGGAGGCAGAGCCAGGCGGATCTCTGTGAGTTCGAGGCCAGCCTGGGCTACCAAGTGAGTTCCAGGAAAGGCGCAAAGCTACACAGAGAAACCCTGTCTCGAAAAACGAAAAAAAAAAAAAAAAAAAAAAAAAAAAAAAAAAAAAAAAAAAACTAGAAAGTACTTAAAGAAATAAAAGAATATACATATATACTTATATGTATATGATTGAGTTTACTTCTTTGTTTCAGTGATAAAACAATGACAAAAATAATTTGGGGGTGGAATGGTTTGTTTCACCTTATATCTTGCCTTCTATTATTGAAGGAAAATAATGCAGGAATTCAAGATAAGAACCTAGAGCAGAAACTGGTGCAGAGGACATGGAGAAGTGTGGCTTACTGGCTTTCTCAGCCTGTTTTCTTATAGCACCAAGGACTACCTGCCCAGGAGTAGTATCATCCACAGTGGGCTGGGTCATCCCACATCAATCATTAATCAAGAAATTGCTTCCACTGATATTCCCACAGGCCAATATGATGAATGCAGTTTTTTGATTAAGGTTCCCTCTTCTCAGGTTACTCTAGTTTTTTATCAAGTAAACAAAAACTAACACAATGATATACTGAAAGACTTGATACTGTTAAATGAAAATACTCCACAAAGATATCTAGAGTCAATGAAATACTTATATAATTACAAAGGTCCTTTTTGTTACAGACATGGAAAAGATAATTATAAAATCTAAGAGGCATGGAATAACTAATATTGATAAAAAGATGAAATCAGAGAAATAAGTTTTTAAAACTTACGTAGTATGAAACTAGAATATAGATATAGACCAATGGAACAAACTGAGAGACCCAAAATAAAATAAAATCAGCTTTCAGCAAGGGTGTCAATGTCATTGAACAAGAAGCGAATATTTTCTTCTGAGTGGTGCTTTGATAACTCTATATACAGAACAGTTAAGTTGGACCCCTACCTCATAGCATATTTAGAAATTGACTACAGATAAACCAGTGAACTAAATGTGCAAGCTAATACCATGAACACTTAGAAGAAAACATAGGTTAAATCTTCATGACATTTGAGTTTTGCAATATGACAAGTTTTCATAAATGTGACAGCAAAACATGAATAACAGAATAGATACATTTGCAAAACATAAAACTTGTGTGTGAAAAGATATTAAGAAAGTGAAAAGACAGCCTATAAGGTTGAAAATATTTGCCAATTTTATAACTGATAAAGGTACACTATCTCGAATATTATGAAAGAAATCTTAGCATTGGACATAATAGTTCATTCCTGTAATCCAAACACTTAGGAGGCTGACTCTGGAGGATTGCAGTGAGTTCAAAGAAAATCTCAGTTACATAATGAGTTATGGTCCAGCCTAGGCCACACCATGAGATCATTGCCAAACCCAGTCTCAAACAAGTCTTAATACTGTATTTGGTGGTAAATAACTATACTCTACCAGTATTTGGCAGGTAGAGGCAAGAGAATCAGAAGTTCAAAATTACCCTGGCTGCAAAGCAAGTCCAATGCCAATCTGGGCTACATGGGATCCTGTCTCAAAAAGTCAAAAACAATAAAGACAAATTATCAATAAAAAGATGAGTGAGCCAGACATGGTGGTGCACACCTTTAATCACACACTCAGAAGGCAGAGTTAGGTGCATCTCTGTGAGTTCAAGGCTAGCGTAGACTATATAGCTACACAGTGGGATTCTGTCTTGGAAAAGAGATGAGAGACATGAATTACCAATATAATATAATAATGAAATAGTTGACATGACTATAGATTTAGAGATAGTAAAAAAAATAAAAAATGAAACAATAATAAGGGACTGGGGAGATGCCTCCATAGCAAAATGGATAATTCTCTTATCCAGAGAATAGAAGACCAAGATTATCAAGAATATCATGGACTAGAATTGGTTAGTGGTATCAAAGTGGTTCTAATCATTGATCCCACCACAGACAAGTCATCAGCAGTACTTATGAACATAGATTCATTGTCAGACTCTCCAAATATTCCTGGCTTATTCCAAACATATGCTGTTTGGTAAATATCCTAAAGAAATGAATATAATCAGTTTCTTAATGAACATGGTCCAAGTCAAAATGGCTTTTCTAGTGGAGAGCATACCAATTACTATTTTAATGTTTCTAATGAACACTTAGATGGAGCACTAGACAGGTTTGCTCAGTTTTTCCTGTGCCCCTTATTTGATTCTAGTTGTAAAGACAGGTGACTGCAGTTGATTCAGAACATGGGAAGAATGTGATGAATGACACCTGGATACTCTTCCAGTCAGAAAACGCTATAGGGAATTCCAAACACCCATTTAACAAATTTGGGGTGGGTAACAATATATTGTAGAAACTTGACCCAATCAAGAAAGCATTGACATAAGACCAAGAACTACTGAAATTTCATTCTACTGTAGCTAGAGTTTTTCTGCCTGGCCCACAGTCAGGACAAATCTCTCTCACCCGCCAGTCCCACAGCCACTCAGACCCAACCAAGTAAACACAGAGACTTATATTGCTTACAAACTGTATGGCCGTGGCAGGCTTCTTGCTAACTGTTCTTATATCTTAAATTAATCCATTTCTATAAATCTATACCTTGCCTCGTGGCTTACTGGCATCTTCACATGCTGTTTGTCATGGCGGCGGCTGGCAGTATCTCCCTCCGCCTT